AAAAATTTGAAGGAAAAAAAACTACGAATTTTTAAGAAAATGCTTTTTTCGTGAGAAGGACTCTTAAACGCTGACAAACGTCAACAAATAGCGAAAACTATAATTTCTATATGTTTGCTTTGCTCGAAATCGCGCGCATTTACAAGGCCCTAAAGCGTTTTGCTGACTTGCAAGGACCCATCTGTTATAACGATGCCCAAAATAAAGAGATGAATCTCATAGTTTATTAGATATAATCCGTGTAAAGTTTGCTTATCATTTTCGCATAAATTATGACCTAAATTTGGAAACCGCTGAATTTCTCGAATTGGGTCTTTGCGATTTTGGTGAAACTCTGTTCAGCGCAAGGCACTAATGCGCACTATGTGTAGCCGAGAGATTTTCACGAAAAAATGCCGGCAACAGCAGATTTTCGACTCAGACCTCAAAGGGGCGTGGCATTATAACCACGTGACATTTACTCCGATCGCCAAAAATTTTATGTTATATTGTAGATTGATCTATATGTTATCCATTCTATGTGTTAGACTTACGATAAAAGTAAAGGTGGGGATACCAGAGAGCTTCAAAGTAGGATGGTACCCCCTAAAAAAAACTGGGTCGAGTCACCTTAAGTTAAATATGGTTCTCAGTTACCCCTGATCCACCAGCCTCCCACGCAGACGTTCTTAGGGGTTCGTCACGCGTGGGGCAGGAACGCGTGAGGAACCTCTAAGAACGTCTGCGTGGGAGGCTACTGATCCACTTGTAGCGTGCGTAGCATGGCGGTTTTGTCAAGCCGGGCGCACGAGGGGCAAAGCCGCGAGAAAATTTGCTCCCGCCCCAATCTCCTCGCGGTTTCTCTGCCCTCCCGCGTTTATTACTTAGCGCGCACAAAACCGCCATGCTACGCAGGCTAATCCGTTTGAGATTAATGATTTAGGGACTGTGCAATAATTATCAGGAGGGGAGGGGCTGAAAAACTAGAGGGGGGCATTACATAAAATTGCTGCCAATACAGGGGGGGCTCAAAGTAAAATCACTCATTTGACGGAGGGGGGGCCTTAAGTTTTATTCGAAATGTAAATAAAATTAAACGCAATAAAAGATTCTCAATACAGGCATCATGATAGAATGTAACAAATATCCCTGCAAATTGGTTCCCTGTTCCTGATCTTAGTGATACAGCAGCCTGACCACGCGGGTATATTCCATCCAATGTGACCAGTCTGAGTGATGAAATCGATCGACAACTTCTAAGTGTGCACGTCAAGAAGTTACTCGATTCTGGTATGTTAACCTCTTCCAACGCCAACGAAATGCAGGAGGTGTGCGAGAAGTTGATGGTTGATGAAATCACTCTCAAAAGTTTTGTTCAACATCGTGAGTTTCTTACATTGAAAGCTCAAAAAAGGGAAGCTGAACGCAATACTCTTCCAGACATTAACTGGAAAGAAGAAAATGAAGCCAAACCCTCACAGCAAGAAAAATTAAGATCTGCCTTAAGCAGAACAATCTTCATGTATCTGGAAGTAAAGCTGCGCTGGTAGCACGTGCTCTTGATTTCTTGCATACTGGAACACGAAACAACGAAAGAAATAGTGCCAATGACAGTGACAGAGAACTCCCATCCAGTGATTCCGAATACGACTCTGATTCTCACACAAGTACTTCCGAAAACAACTCTGATTTGGATTCAGATGACTCCGAAACGGATGGCTTTGTTGAACATTCATATGAGGTACTATTTGTTCCAGACGATGACATCCAACAAGTAAGCGTACGCTTACAGTAGCATGACAATATAAAAGGTATTTACTTAAAGGCATCTATGGTAATAATAGCGGTGAGGGGTGGGTGTGTGTGTGTGTGTGGGTGGGTGGGTGGTGGGAGGGGGGTGCGACGTTATTTTTAACATAACAGAGGGGGGTTAGAACTAATTTTTTTTTGTTCTGGAGGGGGGGAACTGTCTAAGTTTTTGCTAGATAACTCTAGTTTTTTAGGCCCCCCCCTCCTGATAATTATTGCACAGTCCCTTATGTCATATTCTACTTTTTTTTTAACACTTTGCAAGTGGTTATTCCTAGAAAGAAAATAGTTTAGAATTAGGCCAAGACATTACAATCTTTTGTAATGTTCCACCATTCATATGCAATAAAATATTCCCTCGTAATGGAGCGATTCTCTGCCGTTAACATATATATCATACTTGAATTTAATGTCAGTTAATCACAGCAGAGCGAAGAAAATATTCTTTTAAGCTCATTGCTCATGTCAGTCTGAAGAACCTCCAAATTCACGGCTGAGAACGTTAAATTTGTATCGTGGGCAAATAAACCTCCTGCACCATAATCTGAACATTTTATAACGTCGAAGCTATTTAGGGCATGGCAGTGAAGGACCATCAGGTAGGGAACGCCGTGTAGAGACTACAAGCAGTCCCATTTTTCATTAGTGATAGTAGAGCGAGCGAAATGCGAGCGCACGTGAAAAATCACCCCACGCGAGAAAGGGGAGTGAATGAGTGAATGAGTGTTTTTCTCTCTCCTCACCGCGTCTCGCCTTTTTCGCGTGGGGTGATTTTCACGCGCGCTCGCGTTTCGCTTCCGCTACTATCCCTGAGGAAAAATGGGGACTACTCGTAGTCTAAGCCGTGTAGGGCTATGTGAGGCTATGAAGGGCAGTATAGGGTTGTGTGGGTAGCGTACAGGCTATGTAGAACTATGCAGGTCAGTGCAGTAGAGTCAGTGTAAGGCTATGTAGGGTTATGTGGGCAGTGTAAAGCTATGTAGAGCTATGCAGGTCAGTGCAGTACAGTCAGTGTAAGGCTATGTAGGGTTATGTGGGCAGTGTAAAGCTATGTAGAGCTATGCAGGTCAGTGCAGTAGAGTCAATGTAAGGCTATGTAGGGTTGTGTGGGCAGTGTAAAGCTATGTAGAGCTATGCAGGTCAGTGCAGTACAGTTAGTGTAAGGCTATGTAGGGTTATGTGGGCAGTGTAAAGCTATGTAGAGCTATGCGGGTCAGTGCAGTACAGTGTAAGGTACGGCTATGAAGACCTCCTGCGGCCTCAAATATAGGATTTTTGTAGTGCACAAACGCAACTAAAGATTTAGGAATGCGTTTTATCTAAACATGCGTGGCCAGGTCTATTACCGTCGATAAAACATGCAACCCAAAGTACTAGAACAAGCCTGTGATACGTTTCTTTTTTTTTTTTCGGATACATAGGTAAGATTATTTAGTTGTTCAAGGTAGCTCGTGCGTGGAACCTTCTCCTAAAACATCGATTTCTGCCTTCGATTTGAGAGAATCGCAGTCAAGTGTTTGTTACGGTGCAGGGCCAGGCAAGGAAACATTGTCCGAGAGAGGCTGTGAGCGTTGGTCAATCTGTGTGGCTACTTGCTTTGCCATCACGAATTTACGAAGTGGTATGAGGAGGCGAAGCCCGTGGTTTAGCGAGAACGACCAGTGGACATCTTCTTCTAAAGATAGTGCAAGATACACAGGATGAGTTAATTAGGAAATAAGGTAGAAAGTTGTTCGTTTTGTTATGTTTCTAAATTAAACCTTCCGACAAATTTTTTTAGTCACAAATTAAAACGTTTTATCCCGCTAGCCTGACTAAAATGCTAACCGTCGCAAAATGAATGAACGTTTACCCCCTCGCCGCCCTTGCTTCGACGTTGTTTTGGTAAGCTTTGTTTCACATGCTGGATTTTAGACCAAAAGAACATTAATAGGGGTTGAGGGAGGGGTTTATTTGTTCTCTTTAGAGGAGACGCTAGTATCGCGCGAAATTCGAAAATACAGTCGACTTCCGATCGATAATTCGAACCTTCAAGTGAAAAAGAAGATAGTTCGAGTTATCAAGGGTAAAATTATATAGAAAACGATCTGAAGGGAAATGTAAATTGCTACGAGTTAGCGGGAGGTTCGCAGAGGGCCCGAGTTAACGAGATTCTACTGTAGGTGTAGCCTGCGTAGCAGGTGCTTGGAAGTAGTGGGCACCGTTCTCTCTTTCGCCCACTACTAGTAGGGAGCTTTAGCAACGACGACGACGACGGCAACGAGGACGTCAAAAAAGCAATAGGTTTATTACGCAAAACAACAACTTTGCACGTGCATCACGCTTTTTTGTACATTTCTTTACCGTCCTTGCACGACTACGACGTAAAAAAGGCCTAATTGCAAGTTTTATGGAGGACGTAAACAAGCAACGACGAATCTCTTTTTCTCTCCCTAAACTTGAGTGCGGTCCTCAAGAAATCAACTCCAGGAAAATTCGCTTACACTTGCCATTTTCAGCAAATTGGAATAAACGTAGGCTCGAGTACCAGCCGCTGTTCGGGAAAATGAGCCAGCACTCATCCCATCAAAGACCGGACCCGGGAGACGGCGTAAATCGAGCCTAGAATAAACGCGACAAAAATTAAAAAAACGGGAATTCGTTTTAAAGGTGACCTTTTCGCTGCCGTTGCCGTCGTCGATGCTAAAGCTCCCTAGTTCCAAGCGCCTGTTGCGCAGGCTACTGTAGGTGGATTTTTCCAAAGAGAACGTTTCGTGATTTTACTATTAACTCCCTCCCCCAAACTACAACCTCCCCCTTGCCTTAATAAAAACGGGGAGAGGAAATTTTGTTTTTGAGGCTAAGGCTAAGGATGAACTACACAGTGCCTGTGAATCTTCTACCATTGTTGAAAAGTATGCGTTCGAAAATTTGAAGGAAAACATCGAGGTCAAATTCTTGATCGTTAGGTTCAAACATTTGACCAGCGTAGTGTGAATATCTTGACCGTCCAAACTTTTGCAGTGCATGCGTGGTTGCATGGACGCGTAGTAAATCAATATGGATTTGCCCATGAGAAGATGGAAAGACAACTTTTAAATAAGGAAATTGATATTTAACCTGGATCATCAGTTCTGTGTGAACAGAGCAAATATTTTGACCGATTCCGTGTAAACGAAATGCCCCTTCAAAATGATCAGCCTTCTGGTCCTGGTTTGGTGCAGTGTGAACAATTGCTTACCATTTGTTAAGTAGATTTTCCGATAAGGTATTCCATCAATCACCGACATGATTCGTTTTCTTGAGTTGGCCCGTTTGTCTGTGCTGGGAGGCTGAACTTCTTCCTCCAGTTTAGAAGTGCGCTCGACCGAGAACCTAAGGCAAAAACAAAATGTACGGGAGATGAGATTTGAAATACACGCGAAGGCCTATAGACCTCTCTAGCTTGTATGTTTTGTTTCCTCAATGAAGGTCTCAGGGCAATTTGACCCTCTGTGTTTTCATAAATCATGCGCACATATGTACGGGAATAAGATGAAATTTGAATGAAACAGTTCTCAAAGCTAAGTTCACATGATACTGGTCGAAAATTCGTACTTTTAGGTGTTCCCTTGGATCAATTTTGGTTTTTGGGAAACTGCCCACCTACCCCTCCCTTAGTCAACATTAATACTTACTTCTCACTTAGGGCAAAATGTTGGGCTAGGGAAGGGGTAGGTGGGCAGTTTTCCAGAAACCTAAAAGTTGATCCGTTCCTTTCACACGGAACCACGTAATCGAAAACTTGAGGTCAAAGTTTTGACGGGTGCGGTGGAAAATTGGAACGGCAAGGTGTGAACAATGTAACCGGGTAAATGTTTGTACGGCAAAGGCGTTGTTGCACGGATGCGTGGCTACTCAGCTGGGATTTGCTGAAGTAGCGCATTGCGCATAGGCAGATAGTAAAACCTTTGACAAAAGTTGAAATAAATTCAAGCTGATTCGAAAGTTTCGTGTGAACTGCGCGAAAATTTTTCAACCGTCGAAAATTCGACCGGTACCGTCTGAACGTAGCCCTAGAGTAGTATCACATGACCTATATTGGGAAAAAATAACATACAAACTATCCATCCATCGTCTGACAATTTTTTCCAGCCAGAAAAAAAAACATTTCATAAAATGAGGAGGGGGATTTTCAGTCCGTTGAAGTAAATTCACCAGAATTGGTGACTTTCTGAAAGATTGGAACACGCAGGTGCGTAATGACTGAACATTGTGGCTTTCTCGATAAAGTAACAACGGAAGAACTCGTTAAACTAAACTCCGTTTAATAATAAGAGGAAATACACCAAAACCGGTAAGCATGGTCCGAATATTCTCTTGCCAGCAGAAATTTTGATGGTAGACTGGACCGGAAGTAAAAATGAAAATAAACTGATTTACAATGATATCAGTATAATCATGACACATTACATATAAATGTGCCCGGCTATGTTCTATCCTCCGCCTCACCCAGATAAAAAAGGGTGTCTTTTAGCCTAGAACGGGGTAAAAGCTGAGACGACAGTGACAAAATATAGATATTGCATCTTCAAGAGAAAATAAGATCCTCGTTTGGTTTCCACGCCTGTTTATGAGGACGTAGGTGATTTGGAAACTTGTGTTTCTATAAAATAAACCTGTATAACCAAACAAGGAGGCGTGCAAATTACGCGCAAGAATTAATCAACAAAAACCAGAGAAGTTATAATTGCAATCCTTCAAGAATCAAAGTAAAAGAACCGCACCTCATCCTTTGGAACAATACGTCTTGGCTCGTTCTGGTAACTACATGAATGAATACGATGGCTTTCAGAAAATAAACACTGAGAGACGTTTTTGAAAATTGTATTAGCTATCAGTGATCTCCAAAAAAATTCACCTCCAATATCTGATTCTTTTGTACCTACAACATTATTAAACGTGTAAACAAAGACTTACTTTTTCCAAAAATACATAAGGGCAGTGAAGACGGACATGGCAGCCTCGTGAAACAGTCCTCTTTCGACAATTCCATTCTGTACCAATCCAACTACATTATCTGCTAGATCATTAGGGATGTTTATCTAAAGAAAATGAAAATCAAGTCAATCTCCCAAGGGAATAAACGTTACTGAGATTTTTGCGTTACGTTTTGAATTGATTGAAAAAAATATTTTCAATATGGTTTAAACAAACATAGTCTGCTACACAACCGTTTTTTAGTGTCGTCGCGAAACGCTCCCCCTCCTTTGTGGGGAGGAACGTTGCGTGACGACACTAAAACACACACGGCAGCTACCCAGTGCTAGCTACTGTCCTGTCCTATCTATTTTGCAAAAAATTCAAATGTGATTGAATGGAGTACCAACAACAACACGCTATAGGAGTATATATACTTGGAAGCACAGATGAGTCCATCCTCGTTGATGTTAGGGAGCTTTAGCAACGACGACGGCGACGGCAACGAGGACGTCAAAAAAGGAATAGGTTTATTACGCAAAACAACAACTTTGCTCGTGCATCACGCTTTTTGTACATTTCTTTACCGTCCTTGCTCGACTACGACGTGAAAATGCCTAATTGCAAGTTTTATGGAGGAAGTAAACAAGCGACGACGAATCACTTTTTCTCTCTCTAAACTTGAGTGCGTCCTCTAGAAATCAACTCCAGGGAAATTTGTCTACACTTGCCATTTTCATCAAATTGAAATAAACGCGACAAAGATTGAAAAAACGGGAATTCATTTTAAAACTGACGTTTTCGCTGCAGTTGCCGTCGTCGATGTAAAGCTCCCTATTAGCCTGCGAGCAGGCTCACGTGTGCCAGTTCGGGGAAACGTTTGGCGTTGATATCATGTCGTGAGTCCCTTGCATCGAAACATAGTTGAGTTTAATCCAGGCTTAAGCCAATTTTTACGCAGAGTTCTTGACTAGGAACATGCAACTGGAGCTTACGAAAAATTTATGAGCTTTCTCTCCGAAAGCAAGGACTGATAACACAAAATGTTAATCTGAGCAATATTTAGGAGGGTAAAAACCCTTCTTGAATGTAGAGGTCCACTCAACGCGTAAATAAAACCGACTGGTTCTTTCTTGCCGGATCTCTAATCCTCTGTAATGTAGAGATGCTAATGTCAGACGTCACTTAAAGAAGTGAGAATTAAAACAAAACTGTATGCAAGGCTGGCAATACGGCATAGGGTTGATTTACTTGAGGCCAATATTTCGGCTAACAAAATTAGCCTTCCTCAGGACCAGCGCTACGATGAAAAAGGATACTGTAACGGCCTCTTTCAGTGTAGTTCTGGCCTTAAGGAAGGCTTACGGTTAATGGCTTGCACGAACGTTTTCAATCTGCGTACAAACTGATGCGAACCACAGTACAGAGATCGCACTACTAACGATCACAAATGACATCTTACTGTCACTGAACAGGGGGGACAATGTGTCCCTATTGCTACTGGACTTGTCAGCGGCATTTGACAAGGTTAATCATTCTTTGCTACTTTCGCGTCTGGAGAAGTCGTTTGGCTGAAGGGATCACGGCAACTGTTCTGCAGTGGTTTCATTCTTATCTGTCTGGCCGATCTCAGTTTGTCGAAATGAATGATACAAAAACGTCGGTTAGGGGTCTGATGGTGGACGTGCCGCAGGGCTCTGTTCTAGGTCCCATTTTGTATCTGTTGTACATCGCACCACTTGCTGAGATAATACGAAGTCATGGAGTCGACTATCATTTCTATGCTGATGATACTCAGCTCTGCATATCGTTCAAAGATTGTGATGTCGATGTTGCAAAGCTGCGTGTAGAGAACTGTGTCGCTGTTATCTGTCATTGAATGGACGTAAACGAGCTGAAACTCAATCACAAGACAGAAATTATGCTTATTTACTCGAAGTACCATACTCGTCCACTTTTCAGCTGCTTCAGTATGGGTAATGAGAAGCTGACAACCACCGCCAATGCCAGGAGTCTGGGAGTAGTACTTGATTACAACATGTTATTCGACGTGCACGTCTCAGACATTTGCAGATCATCGTTAAACCAGCTTAGGAACTTATCAAAGATAAGAAAATATCTCACACGGGAGTCTAGCGAAATTGCTGTGCATGTTTTTATAACGTCTAAACTAGACTATTGCAATTTCTTCCTTGCTTTACGATTGTAGGAAAATGCAGTTGAAGAAGCTTCAATATGTTCAGAACACTGCCACAGAATCGTTACTCAGACTCGTAAATTTGATAACATTACGCCTGTTTTATTTGACCTGGCTTCCTGTTAGTTAACGTATTATTTTTAAAATTCTTTGGCTAGTTTTCAAATCACTTTTTAAAATAACCTTTCACCAGGCTATCTGGCAGCTGTTAGAAAAAAAACTTGCGGGCACAAGGCTTTTTCAGTGTGTGCCCCTAAACTGTGGAATTCGCTACCATTAGATTTGCGTAAGTCACCATCGTTAACTGGTTTTAAGAAAGGATTGAAAACATATCTTTTTAGGCAATTTTTAGAGAGTGGGTCATTGTTTTTGTAAAATGATTTTATGACCTGTAATATGTGGATTGTAAATAGATATTTCATATTTTTTTATTCCATGCCTGTGATATGTAAATTATTTCATTTTTTCCCGTTTTTGTTACATAGTAAAGCGCCTTGAGTTGAGGATATAAGCGTTATATAAATAGAGTTATTACTGTCGTTATTATTAATTTTGTTAGCCGAAATATTGGCCTCAATTGCCGTATTGCCAGCCTTGCATTCAGTTTTGTTTTATGGAGGGTAATTACAATCGCAGATTAAAATTCTTTTCCTGGATTAGCGTTAATCGTTCTTTCAGGAAGCGGACAATGACGAATAAACAAAAATATCCTGATTCAAAAACAGTAAACCAGGGGTAAACAAACCTGAATTCGTGGCGGGATATCTGAATCAATGTAACACTTGACAATTGTCCTGGCCTTTTCCAATAGTAAATTTTCATCTTCCAGAGTGTAGTTTCCCGACCTTGCACACTCGGCGGCGTTTTCAGCCTGATACTTGAACCTTTCTACTTCCATCCAGAACTCTATATCACTGATTAAACGGTCAGTGTTCACGAACTTGCTGTTGATCACTCGCCGTGTCGGGTGCAGTGCGTGACGACGCAGGTCTAATGCCAGATACAAACAAAATCAGTAAACTTTCAGGGGAATGGGTACAAGCTTTCGGTGGAAAGATGAACAATGGTTGCCATGGATACCACTGACCAATCATAACCAACACTTGTCCACCCAAGAGATCTCAGAAATCGTTGCGCGGAAACCTTGTACCCATTCCGAGAAACACTTTAAATTCGTAAATACGAGGCTCCACTTTCGGTCGTATTTTCCATTTTATTTTTGGTGTTTGATAAGTGATGAAACACTACGACTCGTGTTTGATTTGTCACAAGAAAAGTTTCTCCGTCAAATCAAATTCCTAGGGCCAAAAACAAACATTCAAACTCTATCAGATAATTTTATTGTAAAAGGCGCTTACTCATTTGGTTAAAAGATGTTATTATGGACCACATGCACGAGTACGAGATTTGGAAATATGTGTCACTAAGCGTGCGAGCATAATCAAATCTCATAGTCCTCAAGTATATGTTGTCCACACCCTTTTATCTTCACGAGTGGAAGCAAACAAGATTCATGCAGTGCATTTAAATTGATTCATGTTTTCTAGCACTAAATAAGTTGAGCAGGGTGTTTAATGCCTTAAATATAGGCGATCAGTTTATTGTTTGATTCTATTCAATTACATATCTGGTGACAATAATCATATTTAAGTAAAAGAACAAGTACAAGACCGATAAAATCTCGAATCTGGCCAAACTCTTTACTTACTATGCTCCACTGTTGCTTTGCACTCCTTTCTCAGAAACTGTTTAAACTCTTGTAAGGACTCCGAATTATGGATCCCTCGCTGGAAACACATGACATTGTGAGCGAACATGGCCCACAGTCCTTTCTAGAGAAAGAGAATTCACAAACAGAACATTAGAACAAATAAAAAACACACTGGCGAATAAACGTCAGCGCTCCTCACCGTTTTTCCATGAGCAGCCATCTTGTAAACTCCCGCCAGTGTATTTCTCATGGCGTACTTTGTAAAATTTTCTCCTTCACCTTCATCTTCTGGGAACGTTGCCAGATACTCAGCGTACCTGACATGGAAAGGCATCACCAAAAAATTCAGTTTTACCAGAAAAAAAGAGAAACGACTAATAACCTGATTTTACACACTTTCACTGCCCCAAAGACCCAGAAACAGGGCTTATCGAAAGTAGGTGGATTTCCAGTCAGGGAGTTAAGGTTTCTCTAAAGTGAAAAAAATACTAGTTTGGGACGATTTCGCATATCATACAGATCCACAAATAAGACAACACAACAGCGAGGAGACAGTTTGAAAAAATGTTTCCCCTTTGAATAAGAGATCTTCAGCATGACAAAAAAGCAAAAAAAAAAAATTGCAAAATTTCCATCCGCAGAAGAACGATCCACAGTATAAAGCACATCCTGATCTTATGAGGGTTAAAAAGAATTCTGTTCGTTAATTTTTGGTTTTGGCCTTCAGCCTCCCAGTTACTTTCATCGCAGAATCTGCCTCGTACCCAGACGTCTCTCTTTCGATGAAAATTGGCGCGCAAAGGAAGGCGGAAAGGGGACAACGGGCGAGGCGGCGCTAAACCTCTCGTCTGTACCCTTCCCATGTCCCTTGCGGTTCATCGCCAGTCACTCGCGTTTTGCGCTCGCCTCTACCATGAGAAAAACGAAGCGCCTAAGGAGGAAGCTGTCGCAGAATCCTTACCAGTTTTCCTCCATGGAACGGGCTACGCAGGCCTGGGCTGAGACAAGCATCGGAGGGGTGGCCTTGTCTAGAAGCGGAATGTCCTTGATGATTTCAGCTTTGCAGTGTAAGTATTCGACTAAAATGCAAACATATAAAAACAAAAACGAGATGACTGTTTGGTCTTAATTATGCCAAAAGTACTTTCACGTTCATCTGTACACCATGGGGAATTGTTCTGTTCCTTGCTAGAAACACCAGCCGGGGACTCATTAAACAAACAAATGTCTCTCTTGTGGGGGTATCTGTTAATGAAACGGTCTCAAATGGCTAGTATGGGTCATCGCCTGGAATGCAGTCCCGTTGAGCGAGAAGGTAATAACTATTTCCCCTTGGTCCGTAGTGGTACCTCAAAGGCTAGTACAGAAGAGCTTCTGGGCACCGGAACCAAATACGTTAATATGTCTAATATGAACAAAAAAATTGAAAACCTAATTTGCAGAATAATGCGAAAAAAATACAATCTTGGGCACAAAACGCCTCTACCACCGATTTGGTGCTTCTCTGATGACTCCTTCCATCACCCCACCCTGGGCAAGGTTGTTCAGTGGGGGGCGGAAATGATCCAGCCGGACTTCAACGTTGTGTTTTGGGGGAAGAGGAAAGTATTTGTAATTGCCAGTGCTTTAAGGAGCTTTATCTTAAAACTAGACATAGCAACATCCAAGATTGTAGCTTTTTACAAGCGCGGGCTGAAGAGTTGTACTCGGTTTTACCGTGAAACAATCGGAGCTAGATTATTTATGTAAAATTCCGTTTCTCCTGATTAAAAGCTAGTCCAGTTCACTAGCCATTCAAGCACGTTACCTACTTCCTTTGGCAGTTAAGGCTGCATTCTTAAGCAATATACCACATTTTCTATGGGTTTACGCGCGTGATTACCCACGTGGGATGTTCGGAGAACACGAGAAAAGCTTGCAAATCACGAGCCGAATGCGAGTGATTTACAAGCTTTTCTCGTGTTCTCCCAGCATCCCGCGTGGGTTATCACGCCCTTAAATCCATAGAAAGTGTGGTCTATGGCTTTTATAAAATAATTTTAAGTAAAACTATGAGTTTACCGGCACAATAAACCATAGGTTTTTAACCAATCAGAACGCGCGTACTATCTTAGTTATTTTATGAAGTGTAATAACCTACCGGCTGTGGTTGGAATGTTGGTGAAGTACTTTTTAACAATTGTCATTGCTCTAGCCTGCCGAGCCTTGCCGTCTTTACAGTTCATTTTCATATTTTCTACTGCCTGCCAAAACAGTAAAGGAGCTTCACACTGCTTCTCGGTTAAAAATCGCTTGAACCACATCAGCTGAAGGGAGTTGTGCATGACATCGATGAAGGATCTGAAACGAAATCGCAAAAGGTGTGGGTTAACCGGTCATTTAGCCCCGGTTACTAAGCCCCCTATTTTCAAGTCATTTAGTGCACTTCAAATGTAATATTCCTTGTTATGTAAGCCATAAATCAAAAGCCATCGCAACTGTGTGTGTGTGCGGGGGGGGAGGGGGGGGGTCATAATTTTTTGGGGAATTTTTTTTTTGGTGGGGGGTTGAATTTTGGGGGAGAAAACATTTTTGTGCCCCTTTTTTTCGGTATTTTACCGACCTTTCCCCCAGTAATCATTATCACCCCCCCGCCTCACCTTGGTTTCGGGGGTCTCATCTTAATTCCAGTCAACTTCTTATTTCCTTCAGACGCGTCATCACCCTGCCTTGTCACGTGTCCATAGAAATGCGTAAATCTTTTGCTCCTTGCATTCATTATCTCCTTTTCTTTCTCATAGTCTCTCAAACTTGGAATCACAAAATCATTGCCGACCGCTTCACTCTCGTCTTCATCCTCGTCACCTTGTCCAAGAGAAAAACCTGAAGGAAGGCAACAATTAGTTATTTCGGCTATAAAAATTCTAGGCGAATTTTTTTAACATGCTTGAAAATGACCCAGAATATTCGCACAGAAACTTGGCAATCTGGTGACTGCGGTGAGAATCAGTTTCACAGGGGACTTTACGTCTTGGTCGGTCCCATCGTCAAGATCAGGCCCTGAGCTAACTTCCCATGGGTGTGTCACAAAAGTGTGCTATTGTCAGGTCAGGGGGGATTTGGCTTTGAATTCTCTGCTTGTGGCTGGCTTAAATCTCAAGCTGCCTCGGGCCTCATTTGGCGGGCCCAAAGCTAGAGATGACTAAGATGAGAGTGTCTTTGTGATCGACGAATATTTCTTTCCTAATTAGGAGTCAAGAAGAGGGTCACCTTGGAAGACTTACGGGTAAGAGCTGAATTTCTTTACAATTCCTTTATTATAAGTCACGTTAAGCTGGTTGGCCTAGACTTGCCAGCTGGTGCGGTTATCATAAATTTGGCTAGAATGACATTTACATTTTAAATTCAGTTTTACAGTGACTCTGTTTTGTAAAGGGGGAACGATCACAATGAACAACAGTTTTGATTCCATACCCTAACTTACCGGAAACACCGAGACTGACTGCCACTTTTAAAGCGCGCCACTTTTGAAGAGCGGAGCATCCTGGTTTTGTTACACTGCTGATATATTTCTTCTTGGAAGCACTCTTTCTTCGAATTCCCTATGAAAATTCAAGAAACCGCAGCAGGACTTAGTAGTTCAGTCGGTAGAGCGCTTGACTGCAGAGAAGCAGTTCGCGGGCTCGATTCCCGGAGCAGAACAAATACTCAGCGTCTGAAAACAACTGAGAAATGACTAAGGTACTCGGTCTTTGCCCGGCAAACGGCTAGACTTTCACGTGGCTCGGATGACCACGTAAAATGGCGATGCAGATCCCGTCCGTCTCCAGTTAGGAGACGTGAAAATGGCTCCCTTAATTAACCACTTTCTCGCTTAATTGATATATTGTCACTTAAGTAAAGGCGTTATAAAGGCTAATCCAAACCTTATATTCTAAGGGGAAAACCTCAGGGGCATATGTTTTGCAGACTGCTTCACTAAACCATCGCAATCTATTATCTGATTATCTTTATTCCTCCGAAAAAAATATAGTCAAGATTTGTTACCATCACAACATAGTCATCTTCAGCTTTATTCTCATCATTACTCTCATTGTCTTTGTCATTGTCGTCATCACATTTATTAAAATTTATTGGTTGGAATGTCGTCAATAAAAAAATTCCAAAGCCTCCAGAATTTGAAAAACGATTGCGTCTCTTTTTTATGAGCCTTACTGCCCGGAGTTGTCAATCTATAAAAATCGGTATAGATAAAAATCGATAGCAATCAAGTGATTTTTATCGATTGATAGCGGAAATTGGTGAAAATCGATAAACTAAATTGCTTTATCAAATCGATATAATCGATTTTTCATGATTTTAACGATTTATAACGGTAAGTCCAACGTTGTTGTTTTGTTTTTTTGGCATCAGTTAAATAGCACAGCTGAGAAAACACATCCACGAGTAACAACTGATCAACAAACATGAAAAGAAGAAATGTGGAAACTATTACAGACACAAGATTCTCGTGACCTTTTTGTACATAATAACAGAAACACATACATTCACAGTTCTCGCAGGCAAGTACCACGAGAAATACAACCTTAGATAGAAGATTTCCCAGCCTGAATTTCAGACATCCTCTAGAGTAGAAGGGATGCCCAAAACTCAGACTAAAAGATTTCTCTGGATAGCTTTTTACCGTTTTCTGTTAACAATCGATAAAATCACTAGTCTGCTACACAGCCGTTTTTAGTGTCGTCACGCAACGCTTGAGGAGCGTTGCGTGACGACACTAAAAACGGCTGTGTAGCAGACTATAAAATCACTTGAACCCCAACGATTTTTATCGATTTTGATTTTTCTCTATTGGCTTCTCTGGGAAGTATAACTTGAAAGGGCGGCTGATCTAAATCGTGAAAAACTGGGAAAAATATAAAACCTGGCCAATGTCGGCCATCCCGGAAGAAGACTTTAAAGTGGGTTTTAAAGAAAAGATGAGGTTTTTGTAAACTATTTTTTAAAAAAGTGACAATGAATTATTTGATCCTTCGACTCCCAATTGCAACTCAATTGTCAACAAATTCACTGTTTACATGAAATCTGTTTTCGTTTTTGGATAAACAGGAGAACAGATGTATCTTGCGAGAAAAATCGATGGAATCGGTAAAATCTAGATAAATCGATAAACGAAGCTAGTGTGTCATCGATTTCTACCGATTGATCGATACAATCGATATCAATCAAATCAGATTTACCGATTTTTATCGATTCACTGCTCCGGGCTTAAGGTAATTTTAACCATACCACGCTGTTGATAAAATGGTCCTCGTCAGAACGAACATACTCAGACCACTGTAAGGCGACTGCCTGTAAAAAAGCAAAAAATACTGAGGAAAGAAAAATACGTTGTTATTAGTTTGTTTTTTCGTTGTAACAGTAATAAATAATACAACGAGGCAGTACCCACGCACCCAGTCTTAAAAGGTGTGATCTTCTTTGATTAGGCCCCTTATATGTCAGCTCTTTTATTTTAGGGCAGGGCTCCATTGTTAATTTTGTTTGTGCATTGTTTTTCCAAACAATTCGGTTATGCTTTGTTACAGCTTCGAATCGTCAGGTCTTATTATCATATATACCACGGCATCAGTCTTCATATCAAAAACCGTTAAACTAGGGGCGGGTCGTGAGAGCCCCTCCCTCTTCCTACCCCAAGATACCCTTTCCAACAATTTATCTTAAGTATCTCAATGTATCTCAAGTGAGCGCCTGCACCTAGATCAAAATTCTTGACCCACCCATGCATCTACTAGGTTTTATTTAGAAAGTGTTAAAAATAAACGGCCCACGTTAGTTTTCTATATTCTAGGTCAACGCTTGTAAGAATCACCGGTGTTACACCACGGGGCCCATCAAAACTAACAAAAGCATACGCAAATATTACCTGTACTGATTTCTTCACGAAACTGGACAACAAATGATCTCCCTTCTCTTCGGGGAGAAGCCGCATCAAATCATCCCTAACACGCATGCTCATTTCTATTTGCCGCGGAGATCCTGGGGCGATATAGGTCGCAATAAGCGTTTTTGCTGAGTGATATTTGCTGTAACTGCCAAAATCCTCTGACGGTGACAAATACCGCTGAGCGTCTTCCCAGAACTGAAGGCTGCTAAGCGCTTGATCTTGCTGAGTTTTCTCTAGGTATTCACGGAGAGGGCCGCCGGCCAACTTATCTGCAGTCATCGCAACTAGCGTAGGCAAACTGAGTTCATCTGACACACTTATATCTGCACCCAAAAAAGGGGAAGAAAACGTATAATACACGTTTGGTATAGTACCGGTAGTTCCAATCGGTCAGTAATTTCAAAGGTGGCATTTAACTTTATTAACTAAAAACACAATTCTTGGCGCCAGGTTTATCAGACAAAACTTAAACATTTCAGGAGCTAGTGTAAACTGGAACCACGGCTAGAAAACAGAAAAGCATTTACCAGTATCACTTTTGAAGGGGACAAGTCTTTCCTGCTGGAGGGTATCCATAGGGTACACATTCCGTGGCTCATTAACCATTGCTGCTATTTCGTGTCCAACCTCTTTGAACGGGATCACACGGGAAGCCGAAACTCGTCTTAAGGCCAGGAGTGCAGACTGAGGTGGTGAAGCTTGAAACAAAAAGGAAAATACGAGTTGTTTATGAAGAAGCTTAAGCGCGTTTTCCATATGATCGCTACAATCGCTGCGATCGCTGAGAAAAAAAAAGTTCAGCGATCGTTTCGATCGTATGAAAACCACTCTCCAGCGATCGCAGCGACAACGATCAAGTTCTATCTCAGTGATCGCTGTCGCTTCTATCGCTACAATTGCTTGAAAGTGGTTTCCATATGATCGCTATGATCGCTGCGATCGCCGAACTTTTTTTTCTCAGCGATCGCAGCAATCACAGCGATGGTAGCGATCATATGGAAACCATGCTTAAAAGAAGAAAAAAAATAAATCAAGCTCTTTTGAATTTCACTGAAATTGTTTCATTTTGCTTTGTTTTTGGTCGGTAGAGGTCATCGAGTTCACAGAGAGAAAGGAAAATAAATCCTTTTTTTTTTCACTTTCTCTATAAAAACCATCTAATTATTAAACGCTACTGTTTTGCATCGAGCGCCAAAGAAATGTATAAAAAGGAAATCGTACGTGCAGTGCCATTGTTTTGCTCATCAATGACAATCCCATCGCTTAAGATTTTCTCGACCTTCGCCCTGACCTTCGACCTGATCTTCGCCGCCACAGTAAACATGTTTGGCAACGCCTATTCCCCTTGCCCAGTTTTAGCATTACCTGTTTACTTGGTTTCGTTGCAGCAGCCTTTGTTTTAGCAGAGCGAGTTCAGTATGCGGCTACCTGCTTTCGAAATTCACGTGCTCCAAGGTAAGTTGACGAATTCTTTGAGTTTTCAGGTCACTACTTTGCTTCTCTTTTTATTCTCCGCTTTGTTTGTTACGATTTCAAACAACTCTTATTTTAATACTTTTTCGGTTTGTTAATTCTCTTTAATCATCTGCTACACTGCAAGGATGAGACTTTTACAGTCCTTTGCTTTTCTCCCTCGGAGTATAAATGCGGCATAAAAGTGTCATAGAGCTCTCATCCCCTGAGCCACGTTTTACTGTTTTACGGTCTCATCCATACATTCCAGTTTATAGTTTCCTCAACAGAGTTTTCCGCATATATTCTCAGTTTTCTGTTTTTGTTTTGTTTATACATTGGCCTGGCTCAGAGTATGAAAAGGCTTTTCGTCATTGCGTGAGTTAAAATGCATATTTTATTACTGTACAGCAACCTGTTTATTTGATATTCTTTGCAACTCCATGTACATATATTTACATTTATAATTGCTCTGAGAGACTGGACCCAAAGGTTCGTGCATAGGTTTACTCTTTTTTCAATGGACGGGAGGCCTGTGGTATGCCTATCTATTTTCACTTTCTCTTTTTCCATTGAAATTAAGTCAAATAAAAGCCAAGCCACATCCAAAATATAGAAATCACAGTTAATAAAAAGTATAGAAAAAATAAAATAAAATGCTTCGTGCCTGTGCAGGAAACCAAATGGCCTGAGTTTAATCTATCTCCTGAGGTCGCTCACTTTCTCGGGAGTGAGCGTCGCGACAAGGCGGCTGAAATTCAGGCTAGAAACCAAACAGCAGGGACAAAAATAAGATAACCTCAAAGTTTTGGATAGTTTGCTATCTTTTCGCGTAGTTTGTAGAACGTTTAAGAGCTAATGAATTTAAAGGTAGTCTTGAGGGAAAAGACAACGGGTGTTCTTTGATACTTACCTTCTAACGACCTAAATGGAGAGGAACTCTCTGATGATGATTCATAAAGTTCCTCAGTCATAAGGCTTTGTTGTGATGCCAGTGCCTCATACACGGTCTTAAGCTTCGTTGAAGCTGATGACAGGATTTGCGCGTAAGGAGGTCGCAGTTTAGGAAGGCTGACTCGTTTTTCTTCCAAATATTCTTTTTTCTCAGCGGCCTCTGTTTCATCTGCACAGAAAAAAAACATCGGGTAGTGAATAACTAACTGTAACAAGAATTGACCGACACAGTGAACATGGCAGCTCGGCAAACATTGCAGCTCCAGCAAACGATCCGATTAACGAATGACAGTTTCCATACACATTCTTCTCCCACCAACCCTGGTGTGCTACCAACAATTGATATAAATCAGGTTTACTAAAAACCGCATATCGACTGTTATAATTTTTTTGGAAATAACCTAACATATCAATGTCGAAAGACTAAACCAAAGAATGAAATTTTATGCTGCTTTGCAAATTTGTAGTTGTTCGATCTTTCAGCTTAAGTAGAAGTTCATTGTTTATTTTATTGAAGGTCAAATAACAGCGAACTTTTCGAGATAAACTTTCATCTTTATCCAAGGAGTTGTAACCAGCAAACTGCGTTGCAATTGCATAGCGAAGTTCCAAAAAGAGAATAATTTGAGAAAAGTGCTCAAAATAATTAATGAATAACGTTGCATGCATTTAGGCAACTCCGTTTAATTATAAGCCCTACTCTGCTCGGGTTTTTCCTCTTCCCTTCGCCACCTCATGAAGTCAGCGGTTGCAAATGCGGGCTCAGATATAGACTTTTCCTCCAGGGGTGTGATGGGACGTGACGTTGGTGGGTTGGGAAACGAAAGGCTGTTTCCCACAATCCTCTCGTTTCCAGCCTCCAATGACTGCCAATTTGGAAACATTTCGTTCTCTTCTTCTTCGCCAATAGCTTTCAACGAAGCGTCATCTGGTTCTGGAGTAACTGGACTTGAAGGTGGGGCTTCGCGTATCTAATGAACGTCAAAAGGAAAACAGAAAGAAAGAAAACCGCAGTCAGCTTTTTATCACTGAGAGTTTAAAAGAGACCGCAAAACTCCACCTGTATGCTATGTGAACAAATGATGCGATTCAATAATTAACAGTGTTTTTATTGCAATTGAACGCTAAAGAGGATATAATATCAGTAACTACATGTAGTAGCAATTTCAACTTAGGAGTGCATCCGACAGGAAAGGTAAGGGGCTAATTTCAAGGCGAGATACAAAAAAGAATCCCGTTCCAGGCTAACAGAAAGCCCATAAAAAATATTGTGTAGCAGCAGCTAAAACATCACAAAAGGGATGTTCAATGAAGATTAAAGAGGGAAGTTTAGAAATAAGACCCATTGACAGAGATCTTTTTTAGGGAAAGACTAGCTGCTGAGATCTTTTTTATGTTAGACTACCTTCCTACCTTCTCTTTCTCCTCCGAAGAGGCCTCTTTTTGTCGTCGAAAGATTGGGGAGAGGGAAAAATGAGAGCGCACAGGGTACGATGGGAAGAGAAAATAGAGGGAGAGAGGCTCCCACCTTTTCCCTATTCCCATCGCTCACCGCGCGCTTATTATTATTATTTTTTATCATAATCTGTAATTATTGCTATTTTTATTGGAATACCTAGCGGTAGCCTCTGCGGAGGAAAGAGCCACTTTCTAGTGAATTAATATTCATAGCTCACCCCTCCCAACCGGCGCAGTTCCAACGGCATATCATCAGGTGGCTCAACCTGATCGTCACTACCGGTAAGGTTGTAATCGACACCTTCCCAGAACCACCTCTTCCATTCTTCCAACTTCCTCGCGCGAATATCTTCTTCCGTTTCTGTGACACTCTCTGTTGAAGAAACGCGCTGTGCTTCCATAAATTCGTCGATCTCTTCTTGAAATTTTGTTTTAGAGAGTGGGATTTCTTGCTCAACATTTTGAACCAGCGAGAATCGTCTGATCTCTGGTCTTAACACCGATTGACGACAGCGTTTCTCTTCGATAAATTTCTCAAGACGTTTCTTGTGTTCTATGTACTTGGGAACCCAATAACTTATCAAACGCTCCAAAGCCATCCTCTGCCCGGGTATGAAAACGTTCCCTGAAAATATCGAGGCATCGGAGAGGTACATTTGCCTAGAAACACTTTTCGGAAATTTAAAAGAAGATTTTTTTTCCAAGTTGGGCGTTCCCCCGCATATGCTAATCCATTTCATGATCTCAGGAAGTTCCCTAGGGGATCCACTACGTAGATATTTGGCTTGAATATCGCGGAAAACGAACCTCCGGTGCTCCTTTTTTGTCACCCTACGGAACCGCTCTGCTTCGATCCAAAAAAGCAAGATTTTCTGTCCTGAAGTACCGCGCAGGAAAAGATGAAAAGTACGCATTCCCTCGACAGTGCCCAGATAGGTTCTTGTTTGATCAAGGTCCACTGAGGTACCTGCAAGAAGTAGAGAGATTTCAAATGTCATAAAGCCTCTGCATGCTCAAATTACAAGCGGTTGAAATTCAGAACAATTATTTGACTCAGAATCCAAGAATGAGACTGTCGAAACACGTGGCCTCGAGCCAAATGTTCTGTACACGGCAGCATCAATCATTTACTGCAATTTGCAAATTTTAAAACAACTACAGCATTGTAAAAAACGTTTCACTTTAAGTTGGGAACAAGCCCACTTAGAAGATTCACCTTTGTTGAATGTAATGTGGTTAAGAATTGCACGTTTTGGTATAGAGTGAGGGTTTCACAGTACAGTGGAGCCTCTATACAACGAAGTCCTCGGTATGACGAACAATTTTCATTACCACAGTAATAGTGAAATACATGAAAAAAAACTCGATAAAACGAAACCTCCTTATAGAGAACATATTCAGTTGTCAGTCTCTTGGCTCTTCGTTATATCGAGGTTTCACTGTATATCCAAGAACTTTCAGAGCACATTTTACTCCCCGCGGGAGTTATTGCAAAGGCCGAAAGGAACATTTTGGCACAAGTATTGCAGGTTAGTGTGTTGGGAAAAAAAGGAGGGCGCAAACGTAGAACCACTTTAAAAAGTAAAAACAAACAAAACAACAAAATTTACCAAAATTTGTCACAACGGCAAACCATATGATCTTGTAAAACCTCAATATTGTAGGTTGAAACAAAATTTCCTGCCGATCGGTTTCACCGCAAACCGTTAAGGTTGATTTCCACTGACGCGTTTTTGATGATGCACGTTAACATACGTAAATTTTAATCACGCCAGTAAATAAAAAAGAGGCACCACATAAAGTGTTGAGATTAAACGTGAAGTTGAGCGAGGTTCAACTTTTACGCTTACGAGCAACCTTTCATGCATTGCCTCTATTTTATTTGCGAACGTAAATTTTACGCACGTACGCAGGTTAGTGTTGAGGTGGATCACAGTAGGCTTGATGTACGAATCGTGCTGTATTTTAATCCTCCATCTGTTTCTTGTACCCTTTTCTAGACCAGAATGTTTAGCTTCTATAAACTATTCCAAACGTAATTGCTTAGAAACCGCTACCCTTTACAGCACTAAAACTGCCGCTTATAAGCTCCCCCAAATACCCCTCGGTTGATAAGCCCTAACCCCCCCTCCGCCCCCCTACGAAGACGTATAAGCCCAGGGATAAGGTGATGTTACGCGGTAGAATTCGCAACGACGATTTTAAGCGCAACGCAGCACTACAACATTTTTGCGACGTTGCATCGAATGGCTGCAACATTGTTTCAATATTGCTACGCTGTGTTGCGCTCAAAATCGTTGTTGCGAATCGTCCCGTGTAACATCACCTATAAGCGGCATTTTACTGCGAGCATATAGCTTATAGATGAAAGATCATCTCCCGAGGTTGCATTTGTTAATAGCGGGTAGCGTAGCTAACCTGATGAGCCAGCAGCTTTCTTAAGATGGACATATAACAGGTACTCAAGGAACAAATCTGTTTTCCAGAAAAGGTGCAGCCTTTCATTTCTCACCCACTTTTTCACTCGATAATGTGGTAGGTGCTATCAAGAAAAAAAAAATTAGAATGTATAGCCTTAATCAAGTTACTAGATCATTGCAGAGAGGGAAACAGGCCAGCTATAACGTAAAACAGTTTACTTGTCAATTTATACTATTCTACTATGATACACAATTAGCCCGTAACCCGTAGCCCGAAATCATCCATAATTTGTGTTACTTTTGTGTTACTGTACTATGCATCGCCACCCTTGCTACTAATAGCGAGCTTTTAAATCGCCTGTCAGCTAGTTCATTGCGATCAGTGAATTGACGTCAAAGTTACGTCTTCCCACGATGATGGTAGCCTGATTCTCAGACGTCCGAGGTCGCCCGCGGCCCCTTCGCTTCTCTCCCTCGAAGGGGGACGTCTGAGAATCGGGCTACGATGGTAGCGGTTTATGCTGCATTTTGACACGCGGCACGCCTATCGGCATCCAAGGCAGTCACGGTATTCTTCCAAAACTTGTCTTTCCATGACGCAGCAATAAGTCTGTAGGGAGAACATATTACAAATTTAGGCTTGGTCATTACTTACATAACATGTCCGTGGCGGGGGAGGGTCGATGCTGAAATTATCCTCTGCTGGGTTGTAAGTTAATCGTTTACCAAATACCTGTCAAGAGTGTCACGAAAGCAAATGTACATTTCAAACAAATAACACCGAAGGCCGCTATGTGACACTATGGTAACAGCCATGTTTTAACCTCCGAGTGAAAAAGAGCCATAACAGAAACTCACTCGATCTGACATTCAGGGATGTGACAATGACCGTTTTCTTCTCAAGATGCATTATCCGTTTTGGACAGGACAAAGGTGGAAAAAGAGTTTGATCACTTGTTTCGTAGTTCGTCTAGTTTAGAGAGGAGAAGTGTGACGTCAGGTTACCATGGTAGCAAGATTTCTGGATCTCAACATTCTTCCTTGACAGAGACGGCCATTTGCATTGTCGAACCATGAAAGAAAAGCATTGGCTACTGTTTTCTTACGTGAGTGCAGTCATGAATAGAAAACTCATACATGTCAATTTTTCGTTTTTTCTGCCATATTTGCAGAACCAAGGTTTACTGAGATTTAGAAATTTTGCTACCATGGCAATCTGACGTAACGACATCTCCTCTCCATTACCATGGGCATTAGATCGGTGCGGGTAGTCGAAATATCGACTATGGACGTCACGGTCTTTCATGTCTCTCCTAAGTCCACCCCAGTGGGATAATGCGGCTCCGAGTGAAAAAACCGAACTTCATCCTATCCACTAAAGATGAAGATGAATTTATCTAAGGCTCCGTCCATAACAAATCCAGACATTTTTAAAACCACATTATCGTTTTTCAAGTCATGAATCGGTGTTCCAATCATACGAAGCACGTGAATCCGCTTATTGATCTTGTGGTGAATATACCACTGTTTAGGAAATTTACTGGGCAAAATTGTGACTGTGCAATATTTCACCCATGAGGCAAAAAATATAGGATAAACTATAAGGGCCAAATATTTAAACGTAGCTTAGCCATGCAGTGTTTAACAAAACCGCGCTCTAAGTCATTTTCAATTTGCCAAACTATTTTATCTAAACATCATCTATTGTGAACAGTTTTATGAAAGCATACAGAAGAAAAAAAGACAAGCATTTATCTTCTTAAAACAACCAATCAAAGAAGAGATCTGGAGGTTCAAAGATTCGTTAAACCGCGGCTTAAGTTAGACTTCGTTTGAGTATTTGGCCCTAAAAGTTTACATAACAAAGAAGGAACACCGCATTGCAGCCGGGCTACATGAAACTATGACCATCTTCGATTGCGTTTCCGATTCCGATTCCATTCTATATGTTACAAATTAAAATCACCTATTTCCAAAAATTTCTGAAAATTTCGGTCGAAACATAAACTAACATTTCGGCCTGGAAAAGGTGGTTTGCCTCCAGATATGGTTCTTTTTGGCCAGTCGGTCCGGTGCAAACGAAACTCACCTTTCCATTTTTCATAATTTTAATTTCCAATCACAGCTCACTGAGAAGAAATCGAAATTCCGGTCAAAACTTTAGTGGAACGTTTGGTCGGTTCAGAAACTTTTCAGGTTGAGTTTGTTTCGATAGAACAACAGGAATTTGAAGCAACCAGGACGTCATTTATAAAATGCATTGGCGTTCTTTTAAAATTTATGGCGTTATTTCAGCTGGTTCAATTGGTTAAATGGAAGCGAGTTTTCCTGGATTTGAATTTTTAGGGAGCAGATCGAAGTTTAAAAAGAAAAAGAAAACTTTGCCGTCGAGTGTCTAAGTTCTCTACAATACGTCACATTGGAGGGTTTTCTATTTATGATTATAGTCGTGCAGTGATGGCCAAGAAATGTACAAAAACGAATGGTGCACGTGCAGAGTTTTTGTTTTGGTCATTTAACCTTTTTTTTTTTGACATTCTCGTTTCCGTCGAAGTCGCGGTTCCTTGAACTCCCTGGTATCATTCCATTTTCCTTAGTTTGTTCCACTAGTTTTTACTGAGTTATAGGGCGGTCTCCTATGATGGAAAGCCACCATAAATAATCTTAAAAAGTTGAAATAATTTTCGCGCGCTTCGCACTCGCTTGCTTGCAATAAGATGATTTGACTAAAGAAAACTTTGCTTTGTTACTCGCTTTTAACGATTATCGCTAAAAAGTCAATTAATTTGTGTCATTTGTTGTTTAATTAATACTTACCGGAAGCGAAAGGAACGTATTCAAATACTCAACAAAAGCGGAATCGCTCAAAAGTTTTTCAAAGAGTTCTTCGCTTGCAATTCCTGGTGAAAGTAGAGAAGTAAAGCATTTGCGGAAAGTAAGTTTAAGCGTTTGAACAAACGAAGAAAAAGGGAAGCAAGTTATACGGGAAATGATCTTACCGCGAAGCGTGTCTAAATTGTCTAAAGGTTCGTTGACGTCCATTTTTGCTATCCTACCAAGAACATGCTCTTTTTCGTGTTTTCTTTTCACAGTTTTGTTGTTTTCTTGTTGCTATGCATCGCATCTTGGCGCGCGACGCAATAATCGACAAAAACCGTCTACGTCACGCGTGGTTGCTGTGAGAAGAGCGCAGGCGCAGGAAGGCCGCCGAAAATTCGATTGACAGACAGGCGTAGTGCAACACTTTTTATATTATATCCTGTAACTTCTAAAATCCCCTAGATATAATTCAAATCCGGCCCGGGTTGTCCAAAGATGGGTTAAATTAACCGAGGGTTAGTGCGAAATTGGAATGCAGTTAGGGTTACAGGAGCCATTTTTTGGTTTCCATCAAGAATACACCAACAAGGAAATATTCTACGCAAAAGCCAACCCCTTCTTCCCACCCCACTTGAAAAACTTAAAAAAAGATCTTTCTTTTGATGGGTGTAAGGATCACTAACAAAGTGTTTTTACAAACAAAAATTTCAAAAACCGAAAGAAAAAGAAAAGAGAGAAAGAAACAAAAAAGATTACGCAAAAGAAGAACAAAATCTGTACCAGGGGTGGATCTAGGGGGAGGGTGCAGGGGGTGCGCACCCCCCCCCCNAAGTAAATAATTCGGTTAATTCTTGTTTACGTGTTATTTATTAGGCCCGGCGAATTCTTATTAAAGTGTGCAAGAACCTCTATAACCTATGTAATGATCTTGGAAAAACAATACATGGATTTCAAACTGGGCTCCTAACAATGTGGCTCGGGCTCCTAACTTTAAACTTTAGGAGCCCGAAGGGCTCCCTAAAATTTTTCTTAGGCAGCAGCCTTGCACCCCCTCCTAAAAAAAGTCCTGGATCCGCCCCTGTGTACTTAAAAAAGAGAAATGTAAATCAGTTCATGAATTTCCCTCCCTAGTTGGTTTAACATCAAATATGCACAGCTCAGAAGGCAACAACACAACAAGCTTTCATTGGTAAGTTTTCAAGTATTCTTGTTCATCAAATTCTCACCACAAATTGACAAATGAACTGTTTACACTGCTTTCTTTACTGCTCTGTTCATTTTATAATGTTGAATAATCTGATTTAAAATCACAACATTGATGACGAAAAACACTATACTTGCAGCCCAAACAAACACAAATGTATTCATTCCTTCAAACTCCAAGTAGTATGCAGCAATCAGCCAGAGGCCCTAACATAGTCAAGAAGAAAAGAACAGTTTATTAGGGTAAGTTATGTAGAGACAAGACAAACCATTGATTGGTTCCAAGTGTGTACCTTGAAAAAGACCTTGTCATGGTTTTCGACGCCATCTTGACGAGTAGGCAAACACGTTGAAAATTACAGTGTTTGTATGAGAATCTAATGTTGAATAATTTCTGCAGAATGGCTGTTCTGAAAAAAATATCAATTGTAAACTAAAGCTTCATTCCTAAGGATTCTACTGAAAAAAATGGGGCGGTTACGTGCTCTAAAAGACCTAGAACCACTTTTTTAGATTTTCTATACATTTGTCTGTAAGAAAGTCCCAGGAAAAATTACAGACATATATATGGAAAATCTAAAGAAAGCCTCTGGAGAGATTTAAGCACAGGTACGCCCCCCAAATTTTTTAGTACAATCCTTTGTTTCGTAGCTTTAGTTTACAAGTCATAGTTTTTTCAGAACAGGCATTTTACAGAAATTGTTCGACATTAGATTCTCATACAAACACTGTAATTTCTCACACATTTGCCTACTCGTCAAGATGGCATCAAAAACCCTGACAAGGTCTATAGAGGTTCCAATGTATACTGATAGGGTTTGTATGAAGTTAAGTGTCTCTAAGATCAAGAGAATTGTTTATAATGGACATAATGAGGTGGGGGTAGGGGGAGGAGGTGGTGGAAAGAAAAGATTCAACTGTATCTTGAATCTTTTTGAATCTGTATCTGATTTTGAGTACTTCTCTCTTAATCTGGGGCTCTAATGGCTTTTACAAACACCTACCCCAGAACTCTCTATTTAGTCTGTATGCAGGTATCTCCCAGCAAATAATTACTTTCTTTATTGCCTATGCAACAAACAAAATGTACAGGTTATTCTGTCTTTAGATATAAGCATTTGATAGAGCCAGCTGTGCTTTTGTGACATCATACAGTACGTGAGAAAATTCTAGATAAAGCTGAACATCGTTTCACCTACCTGGCTAACAAACCATGTCACAGTGAGAAGTAATGCTCTGCGTAATGTCATGCTTACTGAATCCACAACAAGCGGCAAAAGACACAGGTACCACAGGAAATACTGCAAAGAAAAAGAATAACTTTGCTTGGGTGGCCGGTGTTGGCTAAGTTGCAACTACCCGTAAGTTGCATTTCTAGTACAATAATAATTATTATTGTACTAGGAAATTCAATATGAGTGCAACAGCTAACATTAGAAATGCAAAATAGTGTTCAATTTGCATGTAATAAGGTATACAGCAAGGTTACAGAAATGAGACTGAAAAATGATAGTAATAATAATAATAATTATTATTATTATAAACATGAGAGGGTGTTGAAGAAATTCAAAACAGTTATGCAAACCCCAGAAGAATTTAAGGGTTTGCAAAACTTTTGAGAAATCTCTTCTCAGCTTCTCATGTTTGATATTTGCCTCTCACTATTTTACCTGTGATGTGCAAACTTTGTTGAAGGTAACAAATGCAAATGTTTGCACAAAGCAGCAGAAAGAAATGTCATGATAATACACAATACCAAACACAACTGTCAGAACAAGCTGGGGAATGAAGGAAGCCAGACCGAGGACAATTGACCATCTAGAACCTTCAACCAGGTACGTCATGTAGAAATACACTGAAAAGTTATGCTTAACATCCTTTCTGGTGATATGATATAGGTATGTGTGCTCAAGAAACTCAAAACCATACCTGTAGAAAAAAAATAATGCTGAGACACTCAAAAGTTAGCCTGCAATGCAGATGTTTTTTCTGGGTGAACCTATTTGAAACTTCAACATCCCCCCTGGCAAACCCTGGGAATTTGACCATCAATTGTGAGTGGGGAATTTGACCATAACCTGGTGGGGTGGGGAATTTGAACCAGAAGTTTCAAGTTAACACCTTTGGATGATGTGGGTCTAACAATGTGGTTCAATAGATGCGATCTTCCTCAAAGGCGAGATGCAGGATTATAAAGGTAAACGAACAGTTTATTTGGTAAGGACTTCAAACGCTACAGGTGTGCATTTTTAAAGGTATAATCATGAAAAACAAGATCGAGTGTTTAATTTTTGTAGTTCAGTTACCAATCAACATTATGTGAAGACTGGAAAATTGCAAAACATTTCTTCTTAGGGAGGGCCATTTGACAACTACATTGGGCTAATGTACTGTGATGGGAATTTGAATGGGCCTATTTTAAAAAGTTCAAATCCCAGGGGGATCGACTCTGGGGATGTTGAAGTTTTAAATCGATCGGCGCATAAGTTGCTTGTTTATGTTTGCAACACCATGGCCACCATCTTTGATTTTATAACTGAGGAAGAATGGGTAGAGAAGGAATTATAACCCTTGATGTAGGTGATCCAACCCTCAACTAGTTTTGAATTCCATTTTAACATGCCTTTACAGTATCAAATTTGGGAGTAACTGCAGAACACCTGGCCATTTTGAAGCTATACCCCTATAACAGTGGCTATGTGGCTAAGTGGCTAATCATTAGCCAGTCAGGTTTGTCCTTTTGTGGGTGTTCTGCAGATGGGAACAGACGTTAAGTTCTGCCAACCCTAACCCTAACACTAATCCTGACCCTAACCGTAACCCAAACCTCTGGGGCACACCGTTATTTAGCTACACGAGGGGTAATAGCTTTGAAGTGGCTGGGTATTTTAAGTAGTCCTGTAGCCGCATAGCCATGTAGCCACTGTTACAGGGGTATAGCTTTGAAATGGCTGGGCATTCTGCAGTTAAGCCCAAATTTGTATCTACTCTTATAGAGACAATATTTGCCTAAAAAACTGGGGCAACACTACTACACCAGATGCAAAAGGTCCACTTTGGTTGACAAGTATCACTCAAAAACGTCTTTACTTTAGCTCTCTATTATATCCAGCACCCTAAAGGGCTTAAAAGGTTAAGATTACCAGGAGCCTTACCTTTTATACAGTAGTCCAGTTAATCCTAAAAAGGTTATTGCAGAAACAACTGCAAACTTAACTCTGTGAGGATGAAATATAAACATAAGCGCTTGACGAACATATCCCTGTGAATTTCGTTCATTTTTCAGTTTATGCACTTCAGATTTTTTGCAGCTATAAACACTATCGCCAACAAGTAGAACTAGCGGTAAGCTATAAATAATAGGATAGATTTTAAAATGCACAGAAAGTGCAAAAAGTATCGCAGCCATTGAAATGTTTTTGACAAGGACAAAGTAGATAGTCGCAAGAACCAACACGGCCATTAAGGATTCCGCATTGCCACGGGACGATACAGTTAAAGGAAGTGGGTTGAAGAGCCATAACCATGACGCAAAAACAGCCCGGCGATCAGCACAGCCTCTTACACAAAGAATCTTATATAATAAATATCCAGCTAGCACATCGAATAGTACAAATAGAGCTTTCCCAAAAGACATGTGTAGAGTAATATTTGGAGTTAGGATAAGAGAAAGTAGAGGAGTGTAGCGATATGTCGGTCGCAAATATGGCGAGTTGCCTTCCACCATGTGGCGTGCAGCGTCCGTGAAGACATGGTAATCGATGTCCGTATACTTCACCACCATGTTCTTGTCTTGCCATTCGCCGTAAGCGATAAGGAAAATCCTCAAAATCAAAGCAAAAAAGCACGTCACTCTGATAGTGAAAAACGTCTTCACGTCCGCCATGTTTATACTTGGTAGCCCAGCCTGTAACCCACAATGCAGCTCAATCCGTGAATCAATATGGCGGCATTCGGAGCAGGAGTTTATTTTTCCGCCGCTTTCCAAGTTGATTTAGAGGCCATATATTCCAAGGTAATTTAATTTCACAAATTTTAAATGAGTGTTTTTCAATTTATATGTAGATTGCAATATCGATCACTCCGTTATGGTAGTTTTCCTTTGGGTACAATTCTCATGACACGATATGGAAACTCACGTTACGAGGGAAGGGTGTAATGTAATTTACCTAATCTTCATACATTTCTCAGTTTGAGAGAATGTGATGAAGGATCAAAGCATTTTTGTTTGGTGATCTTTAATTCTCATAACCATATCTTTTGACAATGTGTGGATATTGTGAGGAGAAAATTAATCTTGATCATTACACAGGGGCACCCATTGTCAATTTTCGGAAAATTAAGGTAAAACTAATGATGCCAGTTTTTAAATTGCTCCGCAGCTTCTCATGTCGGACCATTTTAAGACAGGGGCACCAAACATTAATTTTTGGAAAATATCTGTTCCGAAGACGATTTGAGATCTAGAATTTTCGGAACATTTGTTGTAAAATTTCTTGCTTGCCTGCCTCTCCCAGGATTTTCGAACATCTAAAAAATGGTATAATTGCCCATTTTTAACAGATTTTTACCCTAAAAAGGTCACCTAGAATTTTTGGGAGCCTTTTTTCTGGCTGAAATTTTTGAAAAGGTAAGTTTTGATCCCTATGAATTTTCAGATCACTAGACTTTCAGCTAGGAAATCTGAACAGATGAAAAATTTTTAGGGGATAAAAATATGCCCATATCTACCATCTAAATACTAAAATACATTTAACAATGCAATGTTTAAGTGGTTTTGAACTATATTGAAGTTGGGTACCCCTGATTACTGTGTCTTAAAGGCTTGCTGGAGCCTGTTTGTCCATTGGTGTGAGAGTCTGCACACGTGAGAGTTTGGGTGGCAAAGCTGCCATTCTTGTGGCAGAGCTACTGGAAGTGAGCGCCAAAGTCGTTACTCTTCTGTCAATGCATGCAATGACAATCCCATCAACTAAACAGGCTAAAATATTGAAATAGTAATGGTATATTTTGCATTTGTTGTGTTGATGTGCATTTGCTGCAGCTCAGGTTTAATGTTTTGTTAAATGTTTTCAAATCTTAGTACACACAGTCTCAAGATGAAGACACTGATGCGATTTACCTCAGTGAAATTTGTGATGAAGGTATCGTAACTTAATATCCCATACTGGTTTGCTATGTGTTTAGAATCATTTTAGTTGACATTGTCACATAGATTACAAGTACAGTTGACTCCGGATAACTCGAACCTTTTAGGGAAATTGAAAAAAGTTCAAGTTATTGAGAACTCAAAGCAAATAGCCGAAAGTAAGCAAAAAAAATTTACTGTACAGTGAACATTTTAAGCGCATGTTAAGAAATGTCAAGTGAAAATGGAACGATGCTTCTAGATTATAAAACTGCAGAACATAACTTACCAAAACATAGCCATAGATGTGTTACTGTTTCATGTTAGATTTTTAGCAAACAGCATCAGCCTCCACAAACAAACTATATGCCTTGGGTGTACAACATGTCGATGGGAAATTCAATGTTTCATAATGCAGTAAATAGCATTTTTCCCCGACTTGTCACGCAGTTAAAACATGGATTAATATCCAGGGTAAAATTATATAGAAATGAGCTGAGAGGAAACAAAAATTGCTTTGAGTTAGCTGGAGGTTTGAGTTATTAGGGTGCGATTTACCGATGGTAAAATTACAGTAAATGTATGAAGGAAATCCAGGGGAAATCTATTTTGGTTCGAGTTATGAACCACCTAAGAATGTTTGCATTTTTTATGAACGGTTAGTTCTTTCATAGGCAGCATATTCACAGGAGAGAAATGTGAATGTTGGCTTACTGCGAGAGGAAGGACGAGTGTGCTCAGCTTGGACATACAACACGGGCACCCAACGTCAATTTTTGGAAAATATCTGTTCGGAAGACGATTTGAGATCTAGAATTTTCGGAACATTTGTTGTAAAATTTGTTGCTTGCCTGCCTCTCCTAGGATTTTTGAACATCTAAAAAATGGTATAATTGCCTATTTTTAACAGATTTTTACCCTAAAAAGGTCACCTAGAATTGTTGGGAGCCTTTTTTCTGGCTAAAATTTTCAAAAAGGTAAGTTTTGATTCCTATAATTTTCGGATCACTAGACTTTCAGCTAGGAAATCCGAACAGATGAAAAGTTTTTAGGGGACAAAAATATATCTATATCTACCATTTAAATACTAAAATATGATCAACATTGCATGTTTAAGTGGTTTTGAACTATATTCTCGTTGGGTGCCCCGGATAGAAAATGCAATTCATACTCTTTGGAGATTTGTAGTTGAAAAATTCTCGTCATGCTATTTGCCATTTTCTTCTCAAGTTAGACTGTAGGGTAAGTGGTTAAGTCGCCCAAAAGTCCTCTCACCTGAAGTTATATTTCCCGAAACCAGAGTAATATTGCCCTGAATTTTTAGTTAAGTCACCTGAAATGTTACATAACTCAGCATTTCAGGTGACTTAACTAAAAATTTTGAATGACATAACTTCAGGCGACTTGACCATAAATCAACTGTAGAACCTTCTGTTGAAATGGTCGTTAATGATTTCTGCTCTCGTTCTTGTATTATTTTCTTCATAGAACGTGATAAACTGCATCATAAAGCAAGTTATATCTGGATATATATTGAACCGTATGCATTGACTGAAGTAGCTTTTGTCAACGTGCACTAATAATCAATAGGAAATGTGTACATGACCAGTCAAAAAACCTGCTTTCCTTAATTCTCGTTATTAATTAAAAGTATTGTTATAATTGCTATTTTCTTTCTTTAGAAAGCATTACAGACAGTGATAATGATGGAACAGAGGATGACGTCATTATTGCTACTGATGAAGATGACGATGGTTGGGAGTCTGGTACTAGTGGACCTAGTTACATGGAGGACTTTCCAGATGGGTGCTCTTCTGGGAGTGAAGAAGAGGAGCCTGACTCAGCCCCCATAAGAAGCGACACTTACATCCTGTCTGAACGCAGCCACTGCATTGACGACCCGAAAGTCCAAGATTTTGATAATGAGACCCTTGTTTTGGATAATGGTGAATTAGCAGAGAAATTTCGAAATAGAGCCGGTAGCAGCCCCAGCAAACTTGTCCAAGACTCACTGAAAGGCGCTAACGGCTGTCAGGACAAACACCGGAATTACGATGAACGCGTCTGTGATGCAACATACATCATTGGCGGTTCTACACGGCATAAACCTCAGAGAGACGAAGAGCTGTCCAGTGGTTATAAGAAGCCTGTGTCTGTTGTGCAACCTTTTATTTCTTCAAATACAAAATCGGTAGACGTTGCGTCATCTTTGGAGAAGACGTCTTCATCTAGCGAAGATTATTTGAACATCAAGGCCTTTATTACGCGTCTGTCGATGAATATAAGCCACGCTTCTTGTTCGGGCAAGACCTGTTCCCGTTCGAAGGCTCTTAAGCTTAAAAGAAACAACATTGACTATGCAGAAATGAATTCATCACCCACGAAAAGAAGAAGTATCAGCCTCTGTAAGATGCCTGGATCACTGATTCGTGTCGAACAAGGCTCAAATATAGATGGGTGTCAGATGGATTCGCCGATCAAGTCCCCCTGTACCAGAGAACGGGCTACCTTATCCGGTCATCGCAATGCTCTTTTGCTTCAAAGCCCTGTATCACCTGAACAACCATCAAGGTCTTCTAAGACTCTGCGTCGAAGATCATCACAGTTATTAAAAGCAAGCGGAGATGCAATTTCACGTGATTTAAAAATTACGGAGGAAAAGAAAAGGGAGTGTTTGAAGCAGAAATCAAGTCCTAAAAGGAAGAGCCAAGTCTGGAGGGGTACGTTTCTTAAAGATAGAAATATTTTTCCTCTTAACTATTCACCCGCGACAAAACAAAGCTGGAGAGGTTCTGCACCAGAAACGGTATCTCAACATGATTCGTCAGAGCAGTTGTTGAATTGTAGACCGAAGGCAGAAATCACTCGCTCCGCGATACACAATAATTTAATTCCAAAGTGTAATTTTAGTTCCAATCAACAAAATTCAGTCATCTTTCAAGAAAGTAATGGAGCAGTAATGGATAAATTAAGAGAATGCGAAGGGAAAGTGGAAGCTAAGGCAGATGCTGCGTTCAAGAGCAAGCAAGGGCATACGCTTTCGGCGTTAAAGGATGGAAACATTTTCAGTTCAAGTTCCCAGGGAACGTTTCGTAAGGCAAAGCCTCTGACAAAGAAATGCGATTCTAGTCCAACCGGAATGAGGAACGGTCGGGCTCGTTGGGATCTATGCAAACCCGGCGTGGGTGGAAGAATTGAAAAGCCGGGCGAGAAATCTGTGCCCTTGTTGGAGATGATAGGTGATGGTAGAGACAACGATGACAAAAGAAACAGTCTGAGTAAAGCTGTTGACAGTGGGAAACACCACAAACGGGAGATAAGCAGGGCTTTTGATGAGTTCATGTCTACTAATGATCGTTCGTTAGGGATGCAACCTTTCACTTCAGCTTACAGGAAAGATCTGGAAACAAAGGAAAAAGAACAAGGAAGTGTAACATTGTGTACTTCTAATCCTAGAGGGAGAGTGAAAAATAGTATTGCACTGTCAGGTGATCTGCAGTGTATTAGTTCATTCTCGGGTAGGTCTTCCGCGCGTAAGAGAACAGCAAGAGAGAGCGTTGCCTTGGATACTCCGGACGTGTTGCCTAGGAAACAACCGAAAAGGGGCTCATCTGTGTCAATTTGTCTCCAACAAGGGCCGACACCACATTTTAGTTCACAGTCTCTACACTGCCAGGAAAAAGAATCTACACCAATAAAAGGAAAGGAGTTTAAGAGGTTACGAGTTGAAGGATTCTCCTCCAAAGACATGAAACTTTTGTCGCCAATCAGACGAGCTGTAGCGAGATCTTGTGATTCCAACCTAGAAGGTCCGTCATCTCCTTGCAAAGGGCTTGGATCGTGTGACAAGTCATTCTGTTTTGAGTGTTGTTGAGTTAGACAAAACTCTTCAGAGTTGTTTCCCCAAACACACTGCCACTGACCAACTACATTTTTAAGTAAAATATGGGACTGGTTAAAAGCGCGGGGGAAAGTGTAACTTGCGCGCGAAGCGTGAGCAAAAGCACATAGTTTGGGAGGAAACCACAACTAGCTCGGGACCAGAGTGAGAGTGCGGGAACAGGGTGCGTTTTAATGGTCTTTTTAAACAGTGCCAAAGGAGCTTGTGAATATTTTAATTCAAAGAATTTTTTAAAATATCTGTATATTTTATTGGGAATGTTTGAAAAGGTTTGAATTTTTTCACATTTTAACCTACTTTTAGAGCATTGACGAAACTCTTTTGGGCGATTTTATCTTTAATGACAGGTTGAAGCTATGACTTAATAATAATGACAGACTCTTCGATTGTGTCTGTGTCTCTCTCTGTGAAATTTCTTAAGGAAGACATCAGCATTTTGCTTGATAAAAGATTATTAAATCCATGTTTTCATAAAGATTTTCGTTATCTCAGCACAGACGTTCTCCTTTCCTAAGACAAATGGTAGCTGTCTCACGCAGTCATTTTGTCTCGTCACGCAAAGCTCCTCCTGAGAAGCGTGACGAGACAAAAACGGCATCGTGGGAGACTATATACAACTGCAACCCTACACTGTTGAAGTCCTGTCAGTGTCATTTTGATGTCTCGCAAGGCACAGGTCGCAACCAAAAAGGGTAGTAAGCATGTGATATTGATCGTAGAAACAGAAAAGTTTTATTCTTCTGCTCAATTCAGCAGTTATGCTAGCTATATATTGACGACTTTACATTAACTATTTAGTGGTGAATAAAACATGTACAATGGTTTTACTAAAAAAAAAAAGTGCCGTGGCGCTTTGTAAGTTTTTGCCCATATATTTATTAGTGTAAAGGCAACGCTTATTAAAAATTGCTCGTGGCCGAATGACACAGTACCACCTAATCTTTCTTTCTTTCCACAGCATAGCAAAAAAATTTGTTAAAAGTTATTTACCCCCCCCCCCCCTTGAGATAAAGTAAAAAGAAATTTCAATGGAATAAGCACTATTTCGTTGGTGAGAAAAAAATGTGTGTGGTAGGGTTCTTTTACCTAATGCTCATAACTATGTTCAATTTCACTTTCATCCACGTTGCACATTTCCCCTGCATTCATTTCGTAGCCATTAATGAGCTCATTGCTGAAATTGTGAATAAGGTCTTCGAACTTCTTGCTTATTTCTGGAACAGCTAGCCCGGGTGGGAAGTTGCAGGCAACGATATCTGGCGGCGGAAAAGACACTACGGCATTGTGGTAGCATTCGACAAAGTCTTCAACGCCTTTGCAAAGGTTCTCCGAAGTCGAGACCAGTTTCAGAGCACATTTCTGGTGAATCGCCTTAGCGCATGACAAAAGGTTACCTACAATGAAAAATTATGATCGTTACTGGTCATGATGATTGGTCAGGCTGGTTCACACGTTTACTGCAAACAGTAGCCACCCAAGCGAGGTACGCATGTGCAATAGCCAATTCAAACCCCAGCCGAACTACCTACCCCTGTACTAATGGTAAGATCATGCCCATGACAATGTAAAATAATAATGGTTACTGATCATGATGATTGGTCAGGCTGGTTCACATGTCTACTGCAAACAGTTGCAAACCAAGTGAGAAACGCATGTGCAGTAGCCAATTCAAACCCCATGTGAACTACAATCTCATCCCCAGAACCCTTACCCTTATCTAGTGGAACGGGCAACGGACGACGTTAGTAATCTTTGGTGCTTACCAAAGGATCGCAGCCTTTCGGAACGAGATTGGCCGGACTACTGGTAAGATCATGCAGGCCGCTGTACTGTGTTTATGATGTTCGGTCTTGTTCAGATGATCGCGTCTTTCGACGGTAACGTCACGTGGTTGGCCTCGTCTCTGTCATCTTCGAATAGTTCGTTTTGTTATAAGAGAGGTTAAACATCACGTTAACGCCAAACGGTAAAGCGAATTCGTACCACGTGACCAAGTTTCCCCTTTATGCTTGTCGTTTGCTGTTAATCATTTCTACACATAATCAGTGATTCACGCAATTTTTCATCCATAAAAATTATTCTGAGCTGTTTTTATCTGCTCATTTTCTATTTTAAGAAATTCTCAACTTGAATCTGACGTTTGCCGTTTGTCGTATACGTGAAGCTCAAACTCACCATAGTTAATTCGAAGGGACCACACCATTGTTTGGAAAAAGTCGGAACAGGGTCTACCCCTACCTCTATTTTCACCTGGGTGGGTCATAGTAAGCTCATGAAACAAAGCAACGGCGGCACAAAGTGGCGTCTTTGTCCAAGCCTGCTGTTAATAAAACGCCCAGGGTCACATTAGCCTCGCACCTTTTTAACGCCTCTAATTTCATTGGACCCCTATATGACACAGCTCTTTTGGTTTGGTGCTAAGTTCCATTGTTATCTTTGTTTTCCCAACCAATCCCATGAAGTTTTGAGTACGCCTGTCCTTTTGGGAAGTTTCAGAAAATAAGGCCGGACTGTGATTGGAGGCGATGCAATTTTTCTAATGTTTTTAGTCTGTTTAGCTTATTTGGATATACTCTGTGGCGGTTCTTTCTCACATCACGTGATCAAATTCTTTCGTTATAACTTTACAAGAAGATCATAGGTTCGACTCCTGTTGGGAGTACACAGATTTTTTTTCTTCTGCGCCGCCTGTATAACTGATTGAAAAAGCATATTTTCCAGTTTTTTTGTTTAAAGGGTTAACAATTTTGAATAAGGCTTAGGGGAATATCTCAAAAGAAAAGAATTTTCCTCTAATGAACCTCTTCGAAATTAGCCTCCCACGCAAGCTCGCTAAGGACTTCGTCACGTGCTGTGGGGAAGGAACGCCATCTTCGAATACCTTTTTTCGAGATAACCATTCTTCCCCGCTAGCAGAGGTCTCCCACGGAAAGAAAGGAAAGAGAGAGAGACTTCTGCCGGCCTCCGATGCGTTTTCTATCACGCATGCACTGGTGTTTCTTTACCAACCAGTAACGTTTTAGTCACGTGCGACACAACTTACAGAACCGGTCTGCGCCATAACAACTGTGGGCTCAGAAATTTCCAGCGTGCGGTCTCAAAAGGGCACGCACATTCCACCTTAAATGAAACGGGCTTAAAAACGGGGAAACGGGGTGGTATCAATCTCGTTCCCAGACTCTGGGAAGGAGATTGAACCGGTTTTAAAAACCAGCAAGTCTCGACCACAAATGTAGTCAGTGGCTACATGAAAGAACGCGTCGGAGGCTGGCAGAGGTCTCTCTCTTTCCTATCATTTTTCTCTTCCCATGAGAGACCTCTGCTGAAAGGGAATAACCATCCACAACTTCTTAATTTACCTGGTATGACAACCCTGGCAATGCTCAAGTTCTTATATCTGTCGTCATTATCAAAACCTACCAAGAGATTAAAGAAGCTGTGTCACGAAAGTTATCGAAATTCAAACCGCAAGAACCGCCGTTGAACCAGGCAAATTATAAAAGAAACTGCTCCAAACATGAAAAGAAGGTATAAATAACACAGCAAATACAAAAAAAGGAGCGGATACTTCAAGAAGATTGAAACAGATTTCAAATGGGGTTTTTGAAAAGTTGTTAGCCAAACAGTTTTGCAGACTTCATTGTTGTACTGAAAAATTTGCTTCCACCAATCAGAATATCTACTCAGAAGACAGTTGCAGTTGCGCAATGACGTCGTTTGGCTACACCAACCATAATCCTTGGGTGGTTTCTTTTCTCATGCAAAATAAGGTCCATTGTATTCTGAAACCGCACACGTTTACGTCAAACGGTAAAGCGAATTCGTACCACGTGACCAAGTTTCCCCTTTACTTGTTGTTTACTGTTAATTATTTCTACACATAAATTTAATAGTGTTTCACGCAATTTTTTCATCCATAAGAATTATTCTGACCTGTTTTTATCTGCTCATTTTCTATTTTCTAAATTTACTTCAACCAATCAGAAGATCTTCCCAGAAGACAGTTGCGAAATAACGTCAGGAATACTAAATAGGCCACTTCCGAGTTCCTAAAACTCTCACTTTCAAAAAGAGGTCAAGTGCCAAACCTTTCTTGTGAAAATGAGTTTTATTTGCGTGAGAATAAAAAATCATTTTCGTATTAGTGTCTTCGCACTTAGCCTCACTTTGAAAAGGAGGCTTGAGGTAACTCAGAAATGGCCTGTTTCAATAGGAAAATGAAAACGCAACGAATTCTGATTGATGAAGTCAAATGACGTCATTGTAAACATGGTGTTAAACGTCGTGGGAGAAGACCTGGAAAAAGGTGGGTAGGTATTGCATTATGGCATTATTTTGAGTGGGAAGTTTGACCCTCTTTCCTTCGACTAAGAAGTTCATTCCACTTTCTCTCTCTTCACCCAAGCCGAAGGCCTCATGGGCTATTGACTCAGAGGCTATGAGGGCGAGAGAATAGTTGTTTTAGTAAAATCCAACTAGTTGGTCAAAATTGTCGAGAATAAAAAACTTTTAGCTAGTTAAAGCTAGACTTTAATCCTTTTATGCCACCAAAAAGCCCGCGCTTTTCCCTACTAGTGGTAATAGCTTAGTAGTAGCTCAACCAATCAGAACGCAGCATTGAAAAAAGAGCACTAGTTGGATTTTACTAAAAATGGGTACCAGCGACATACTGCTGGGAGTAACCCTGCGATGGACTAGCATCCCGTCCAGGGGGGAGTAGCAATGTTTCTAGGCATGCATTATGCTAAGGAAACCGCGATAAGCTCCGGCCGTTTGGGCCTTTGGCGCGTGTGCCTCTTTACATTTTTTTCTACCCTCCTTTGAATAGCTAGATCGTCCACCATAGTGCAATACACAACACCGCTGACCTCAAAAACTGGCTAATGCGAGTCTTCAAGAAGGTCGTACAAAGTACAATATCGTCACGACAGAAACTTACCTAACCTGGCCACCAGTCGTCTCAACAAAGTGGTGTTATAATTACAGATATGCTCCTTTTTACTTATCAGGATATACTGCAGCGAGACAAAGACCCACTTTTGAAGCACTTCACTGGTACAGTTGAATGTATCCTCAAACCTCGCGGTGACATCTTCGGCGCATTTCATCAAAACCTTCATAAGTGAATATATTTGAAAGAGACTTAACTCGGCTACTGATGAGTTAACAAAACGTAATAGACCAGTTAGTTGGCTTTTACCCACTTCAAGAAGCAACAGTGCGAAGGTATAGAAAGGGAGGATGGTGTTAGTTAGGTTTCAACATTCAGCGCCAATGCTTTTACGTTCAGTCGCTCAGTGCTAATATAAGTGATAATGAGACAAACTGAAAACCCTAAAACCGTTGTCCAATTCTAGGTCCTAGTTTACAATTTTGAAAAAAAAAACTGATTTCCGTTGTCTTTGCAGTCTGTTTCATACCCTCAGTAAACAGGACAGGACTTGCGGGAGAGACCATGCTCGTCCCGTCTTTTCTTCTTTCCTCCCCTCTCTTAGAGCTTGAAAAACGATATTGCCCCTACAAAGTTTGGCACGATAATTGCTGGCTCGCTAATACTCGCCAGCACACTATTTAAAAGGGTCAGTGGCGTTACAGAACACATTTGCGCTGAAACTTGTCGATTTTTTGGATTTCAGGCTCGGAAAATGCGCAATTTGACTTTTTTATTATGTAACATCACAATCAATGATTTGTCCTACCCATTCCAAACTACATGCCTTTTACACTGCACACTGCAAATGTTGCTGGCGGCTTAGAGATTTTGTAAGAGGTGAAAGATCAGGGTGCTGAACGTGTTTCTAAATGTGTGGGAAAGTATCCTTCAAGGTGACGATCAGTTTAGTTATGAATCTCTTGATTTTTTCTACATAATTCAGCGCGGGAGATTGTCTTGCTTTGCAGTTTACCTTCATTCCTTTGCAATACAGGTATCTTAAGGGCTGGTCTTCGTGTTCATTGTAGTAGTTTTTTATGTTGCTGTTACATCTCTTCATAGCTCTCATGGTAGCAGTCCAATGTTCGTTTATGTCACAGGTTGCTACGCGTTCCATTGTGACGAAACTGTTCATGCAAACCAGAATAGCGACACCAGAAAACAAAATAGACGAGAAATTCATTTTTTCTATTAAAAAAGAAAAGAAACTTACATAGTATCATTCGTTGGATCATTGCAACAACTTAACTAGGAGATTGCCTACGGATCCTAAAATACTGATGTCATAATATTTCCGTCCCTCGAAGACCCAGAAGCTCCAAGGACACGGTCCATATTTTGAAATTTGTAATTTTGTTTACCCACGGAGCACTTAGGAGTTCTTAAGAACTCGTTGAAATTGTGTGTTCCAGATCGAATTGGAATTAGGAGTTGTTGGTTTTTGAGGGGAGGGGAAAGCCGGAGTAACCGGACAAAAACCTCTCGCAGCAAAGGAGAGAACCAACAACAAACTCAGCCCACATGTGGCGTTGACGCCGGGATTTGAACCCGGGCCACATTGTTGGGAGACGAGTGATCTCACCACTGGGCCATCCTTGCTGCCCAGAAAAGAGCGAAAATATTCCACATTTATAATGAATCGTGGAATTCTGGGGTTTAATGAAGAAGATGGATTCTAAGATTTCATTCAATTTTCAACCAATTCGCTTTCATACTGTTTTTTTTTTTTTTTTATCCCACGGTAAGGTGATAACCAATGATAGAAGGATCTGAAACAACGCACCGTAGCAATCTAAAAAACTATTTATTGGATTTTGTTTCTTATTGTTATTTGTTTCTGGAGGACTAAATTAGTCTGAGAAAACAGCCAACATTTCGCGACGCCATCACTGGTTTCCCCGCGAAATGACGTCTGAGAAACGAGCGCAGAAATTCCATACTGATGACCCGTCACCAGCCAGATCTGGGTTGTGCTTCTGATTGGTCGTGTGGAGAGAAATTTGCCTCAACCAATCTGAAGTGCTACCCAGATCTGAATAGACTAACCAGACCAGTGTCTAATAGAATTTCCGTAGTCGTTGCTCAGACGTCTTTTCGCGGGGCAACCAGTAGTGGCTTCGCGAAATGTCAGTTGTTTTCTTAGGCTATATGACTAAATCAAAATTAAAAGAATTTCATAAATAAAAAAGGCTGCAAAAAAATTGTTTCATCTGTCAAAGGCCTGGATCTGAACGTTCGTTTTTCAAAGTCTTCTTTACAACTTCAGAGAAAACCTTGGGACTGGAAGCGCAATTTTTAAGAAGAAGATAGAGTGGTTAGTGAGAAGCCTCTCCTACAAAAATTAATAACCTGTTGAAAGTGAGATGAAAGTCCTATTTAAAAGTATGTTGCGAAATTCCGAACCAGCTTTTAGCCAGAGCTGAACATGCTCGCTATAGATGTTAAAGATGGGATTGATATTAATCATCATCTTGCTTGGGGTAAGGAAATGATTAAGACTGTTGCTCATATATAATATAATAAATATGTGCACTTGACATACAGTCAGGGAGGGTTTTTCGGACTGAATTGCCACTTGTATTATCATATAGAATGAACATAACAAAAACTTGTTACCGACAAAACTTTATCAAAATGAGGTTCATTAGTAAACATAAGTAAACACAATTCTTCGAGTTGAAGTAAATCTTTTTGCGTGGGTGATGTTTTGAGGTCATATCAAAAAAAGAAACCACGACTAGCGAAGCGCGATCTCAGGGTTTACATGGACAGAATTATCAGTTAGTTTTCAATTGACGTCTGGCAAAAGAAGGAACAACAACGAAAATTGACATCAAAAACAACAATGCAAATATGTCTTTATTTTAAGATGTAGAAACTTTAAAATAAGCTAAAGACCACGTGACCCGAAACGCATCGGCCGCGCGCAATAATAAGGCCTAGTGACTAGACAAGGAAATAATGTCGATATTTAGTGGAATATGTATCCCGACTTATAGCGAAATTGGAACCGTTTTTAAACCACCTTTCATATCAAGGTGTGAATATGATTATACATAATTGCAGTTTAATGAGTTTCCGATTTGATTTGCACAGAACCGAACTGCGTGGAGTCACCTGCAGTGTGAATTTAATGATAGGAAAAGCAGCTATGTTAATTCAGGTAAAGAGAAATAAAAACCGGCTAAAATTAATACAGAATCAGACAATTCTTATTTTTTGGTTAAGAGGTTTTTGCGGAAACTATTATCTGTGTGGGTATTGTTCACTGTGTCATTTCAGTCTTTTGTATGCCATTTGGTGATTGTACCCTTCCGCAAAGCAAGGAAACTATCCTTAAACTCACTGATCAATATGAAGTTCCTTTTTCTTTAAAACAGAGCAAGAAATTTTTCGTTACGCCAGGCGATAACAATGTTAACACTGGGCAATTCTCTACACTCCTTTCAAAAAGGTTTTTTCTTTTTCAGAGCAAGCTCGAAAACAAAAATTAGTGAACTAGAATTTTAACTACTATGTTTGAAGGCTTCGTTTTCTATTTGGTCTAGAAGGAGGACCCATTGCGCTGTTACTTTTATTTGCACTACTGAATTTTTTCACTGTATCTTGATGTTGGTAGGCTTTCAGCCGTCTTTTCGCCATGGAAGCCATGGCGTTTGTACATTTTTAGACGGCCGAAATGTCCACTTTAAACGCCCGATAGGTGCATGCAGTAACAGTTTCAGTTCTATCGATGTGTACTTCTATAATCATCATACCAAAACTTAAACCACATTTAAGACAAAAACGTTAACAACTTCACCCTGAAAATTGATGCAGCTTGCAGCTCCGGTTTGTTAAGTCTAAGATAATCAAGATTCTCACTCACCTTGTTTCATTTGCGATAAATACCCGTATTTACTCAGAACTGTACAATACTGAAAATTTAACTTCACTATTCCAGCCCCAAATGAAGGCCGCAGGGGCAACTAACATCTTTTTAGAAGGCAATTAACGTTGCTGTTTTTGAAAACATTTCGTCGCTAAAAATTATTACACAAGAGAGAAAAAAAGAAAACAACAATTAATATATGTAACCTAGGAGCTATAATTACATCTCCCATGGTCACTTCTTTTATTGGAAATAAAAGCTTTCCGTTATTTGAATCTATGGTTGTTCAAAATACTCTTAAGTGGTAAGGTCAAACCGGGTTTTCATTCGTGAGCTGCTCATATTGAGCTAATTTCAGGGGCGTAGTGTGAGGTTTTGAAGGTGTGCGTACGGAAAGAAAGGTTGGACCTTCGAGGGTACTGCAAACGAGGGGGGTCTGGGCTCCCCCAGAAAATTTTTCAAATTTAAGGGCTCAGAAACGCCATTTCCTGCGTTTTCCGCAGGACATTTTCAGGAAATAAATACGAAGGAAAATGCAATAATTAGTTGTTTAATTTACATCCCTGGTGTTAAGTTATCGGCTGGTAAAGTGCTTACAGGAAAAAAAGATGAGACAGTGAGGCCACCATGGAGGTTACATGCAAAGGGCGAGATGTCTACCCTTCAGACGGGTAAAGACACAAATATTATAAATAGATTTATCAATTATCCGGATTTAATGATTGAAACTTTTTCAGGAAATAAAAATATATGTTTTCCAGATTTCACCTGTACGCACGGGCTTATGTGCTCATATGGACGCTACGCCCCTGAATTTGTTGATCTTATTTTATCTTTGAATTGTCAATTTCCGACTTCCAGAAACCCTCACTTTGGAAACGAGGGTAAGTGCAAAAACTTTCTCATGAAAAAAAATTTTTTTTCCTATTAATGGCCTCGTACTTAGCCTCGCTTTGAAACAGAGGCTTTGGGTAAGTCGGAATGGCCTACTGGAACACGTCGCGAGCAAATTTCAGTTTTTGTCAAAAAACCAAAGAATTCCATTAACAGGAAGCATTCTGGCCTCAATAAATCCCAATTTCAATGTTTTAGATCACCAAAATGGGGATATAGATCGCTGAATAAACTACCAACTGAAGAAGTTCGTTTCGTTCCTGTTAAATATCTTTGAGCTCTCTTAGACGTTTTTTTTTCACTCTTACGTTTTAACAGCTTCTCTTTCTTTACTTAAGGAAAATCACCAACTACTCTGGGTGTTTCAGACTGAAGAAAACACCCACATTAACTCAAAATATTGAAATTGAAAGAAATATTTTTGTTATTATCTTCTTTGCTTGGAGATCTGGAAATCGGGTCTCCTGCTTCTTCCAATCTTTGCAACCGAAGGGAAGTTCTCACAACTTGAGTTAAGTTGAGTTTTCTGATAAGTTGATAAGAAATTAAACATCCAGTTGTAACCTGTATTACTCGGACGTTCTTAGATTACCTGCAGTGCAAAATACCAACATCATCAACATCATCATCTATTATGGATCAATTTAAGGTTCCTGGGTAACTGATCATCACCCCCTCCCCTAAGTTAACATAAACACTTACTTCTCACTTGGGGCAAAATTGTGTAATACTAATTCAGCAGTTCAATTTGTTTCAAATCCTGTTTAGGATAGAACTAAGATCCTTTTTAAAATCCTGTTTAGGGTCCAAGATCCCCTTTTTTAATCCAATTACGAACCAACCAAGATACTGTTTAACCCTTTAAGGCCGAAAAGTAATCGGCTTGACGTTTCTCCTTATAATATCAATGCTTTAGAAAACAGAGTGGTCATGAGAATTGAGTACATGATCAGGGAAGATGAGTCTAATTGATCTTTTAACAAATTCTCCCTACTACTTTTATTGAAAATGTTTAGGGACAACAAACGAGAATTTGCATTTTGATATTAGGGTTTAAAGAGTTAAAATCCTGTTATATTAGGATCTAACCAAGATCCTGTTTTAAATCCTATTACGATCCAGCCAAGATCCTGTTTTAAATCTGTTATGGTCCAACCAAGATTTTGTTTAAAATCCTGTTAAGATCTAGCCAAGATGGGATGTTGTTCAAAAAAACCTTATGTAAAAATCCATCTCAATTAGGATTAGGTTAACATTGCTTTGCAAGTATACAAGTATTTCTTTTGCAATAATACCGATAGACGAAGTCTGCTTTGAACTGAATGTGACATTTGCAACCGAAAGGAAGCTTCGAACTTGTGAGAAATAAAATTTGTTTGTTCGAGAGATGTATGCTCTCCTCATGATAATCAATAAACCACCGTAAAGTTTTGAAAAGGATTCATTTTCTGTATTGGCGAATTTTCTCACTTGTTTACCTAAGGAGAAACCACGTGACATTGCTTCTATCCCATCCACCTTCAAGCGCTTGCAAAGATGGCGAGTGTCATGAATAAGGTCTATTGCGAGAGGATGAAGCGGATCTCTGTGTGGGGATTAGCTGGACATCTGATTCTCGCAAACACCAATATGCCATGACGTCATGTGAAAACGCCCTATTGAAATTTGCAATACCGCTGAGGTTATAATAACAATGGCCCTAACCTTGGGGCCTGTTCACAGAGGACCTCGGGCAGGTGAAGTAATCCACTTCTGTGCGATAGCGATGGCCCACGAGAATTCACTCTTTGATATTGTAGTCATCTGTACTAACTTTATTTAGCCTGTATGGGGAAACCAACTGTATTCACTGACTAACGAATGTTTTACGGGTTGTTTTTAAAAACAGTATTCGCATCAATGATTATATTTTGTCATTATGGTTCATAACTGTAACAATGTCATCGCCTTTATCATCATCAATCACCGTCATCAACGACGCAGCAACATCTCTACTCTTCTATTACTTATCTTGTTTAACACTACAGGAAGTAATAAAGCCAACAGTAAAGCTGCCTTATTGAAAGACAAGACTGGCCTGCTGATACTTGCGCTACAGAACACAAAACGCCTTTCTCCTCATAACAGGCGCAAAAGAGCAGTGTACCAAAAGTAGTTCTTGGTCAGATCAGGGACACATCCTGTATAATTCTCTCCGTTTGACAAAACCGACATCCTTGATAAAAAAGGGTCTAGAAGACGCTTCAAACTTCATCTAGCGAGTTAGTTTTTAGACCACTAAACTCAACAGCGCTAGCAGAGGCGGAAAGAAAGGGCCGAGGTGTCTTCAGCACGTTTCCTTTTACACGACGGCGTATTGTTGGTACAATAGTTCCCGGATCTTGTAATAGTCGTCACACACGGCTCCTTCCAGGCCCACCCGGCCAGTCTCGTTCTGAAAAAAAACGGCAAGAACAAATTAGTCGAGAAGGGCCGTTATTTGCACGAGAAAACAATAGATAAATTACAGTACTACGCCACTGAAATCACTCTAGCCACACGACTGTGTGTACCCTTCCAAAACCTCAAGTAAAATTACAGAAAGTAAGTGGCAGTCGTAATTATGGTATCTCCTCGGGGAAGAATTATTCATTTTGCCTTTACAATGTTGTTGACAGAAAAATCGAACCCAGGATATTGGCTGATATACGAGTTATGCAGCATGTATTTTCCAAAATATCGATGGGCGGGTAATAACGCACTGTAATTGTTAGGAAAATAAAATCCAATTCTGTGATCCACTAGGCTGTATTGAGAAAGTACTAAGGTTTTACTCACTCGTCTAACTGCTACGACATTGTTGCAGATCAAAACACCTCCAGCAAATTCCGCTTGTATTCCAGACTTGTTTAACACCTGCTTAAAATCTGACAAGCGAGGCTCGTTGATATAAACTGAAGTGTGTCCGGTGATCTGAGGAGAAAGAAACAACGAATGCACTTAATAACATACTATTTTTTCCTTTTTATTTTTATTTTTATTTGCCACACAATAATTACAAAAAGTATAGGAAAAGAAGAAAAAAAGAAGTGGCGAGGAGACCTAACAGAAACTAAAGGAGCTTATGAGAGGTTAGGCCTCCTCGAACTATGAGCTAGAGCTGTTTCACATCAATTGAAGAAAAGAAGGCGAAAAGTCGAAGATGGAAAGATTTACAAACTGTTTTCATACTTACTCAATAATTTAATCTTCAGTTTTTTCTTAAAAGAGGAGAGGGATTGAGAGTTGATGACCTTGTTGTCAAGTGAATTAAAAAACTTAGGCCCTTGAAAAAAAGGGCGAGAACTTCTTCGTGTTTGTATGACAATACGGTAGACGATAGGCCTGGGAATTTAATTTTATTCTTGTGTTCTTGAGAATGAACTGAAACCTTCTAACGCAGCGTGACCGACTGGTGTTTGAGTTGTACTAGCGATTCAGCAATGCTCAAGTTCTGAGTTCGCCATCTTTCTTGGTGGTACTCTCTCCTGCACATAGACTCCCGCTGGGTATTCCAATAAAAATGGCAACGATTAAAAATATGCGCGCGATGGACGACGGGAAGACGGAAAAGACGGGAAACTAGCACCTGTCTTCCTCTCCTTCCCCTTCCTATCGTCCGGTTATTACTTGGTGTTACGGTGCACGAATTTATGCTAAGTAGTATATGCCAATGTCTATGTCATATAATGAAAGTATCGTCCCCCGTTCGCTTTCTTTTTCTTTCTCCTTCGCCTCCTTATGATTTCTCTGCAGATAGCCTCAGCCACAAGTTCCTCCAAACTTTCTTTCAAGTTGCCCAGAATTTCTGAATTTGCTTCAAATAGCAAAAGTTGCCAGTAAGGTGCTCCAAATAAAGCAAAGTTACCAAAAAGGTACCGAGCATCTTGTGGCTGAGACTATTTGCGGAGGCGAGAGCGCGAACACTACATAGTGTCCCTGAGGAAAATACGGTCTCCTCGTAGTGAATACTATTGGTGAGTTTCCCAAGAAGGCCTGAATGAAACTGAAAAATCTTGAACCTACTAGCAGATGGATTGCCTTCTTACCTGAGAAATCGGAAGTTGTTCCAGCACGGGCACTGTGTCCATTGGCTCCTCTTTACTACCACTTTGATTAGTCTCCATCTTCTCCTGAGCCTCCTCCTCGTCACGCAACTCACCATCTTCAAGAACCAGCCCCACGTGTGACTCCGAAGCATTAATGTGCAGTTGTCCATCCACCCACGCCAGTTCTGCGTCACGCGCACGAGAAAACTGTAACGAACTAACAAGAGCGTCACGCAACTTGACCTGCAGGAAAAATAATCACGCACATATTGAGATATTGACTAAACAACTGGCTGTAATAACGAGGTTTCCGTATTAAGCGAGTGTCCGTAAAAAGGGGTCCGACTTTACCTGGTAAATGTATCTTTCGCCAGTGGAGTCCACAGTTTCGCCACATTGTGGAGTAAAGACCTGATTGACCTGAATGCTGCTGCTCTCTTTGCAGTACTCAGCTAAATGTTCTGTGGCCTCTGCGGTTCCGTGCACTAGAATCTGTCACAAATGAAAGTGAAGGTTGGTTAATTAAAGGAGCTGTGTCACTAAATTTATCTTGGGTTCAGTTTGTTCAGATGGAACAATTTTGAAGGCGGAATTAACTTACAAGATTCCTTGGGTTAACTAGTGAAAGAATTCTCTTGATGGACTCGCCATCTGAACGCCCTTCAAAGTCAATATGCAACAATGAACACCTGTAAAAAAAACACAAAGAAGTCAGTTCACTCTGCGAGCACACACCGCAAAGGTCTTTCAATAAATTCAGAAAACCTGGGAGATGGCAGTGACCACGACATAGAAAAATGCTCAAGGTGAGTGTAAAAGCAAAACTTCAAGCACAGTTTGCTCATTTATCAAGCTAAGAATAATACATCCTCATACGATGACTTACACTAATGTTAACGTACGAATAATTAGGCCCATTCCACATGAATTCCGACATTTTTTAGGACCACATATTTTTTTTAACCAATCGGCCTTCCGTCCACTCAAAACCAAATAATTTCGCTCACCAAAACCGCATCTTTTTCAAAGCACTCACCAGATGTGGGCATTTTGTATCCGCAAAACGGATTTGCGAATTCGTGTAGACAATTGAAAACGGATATTTTCGAATTCAATTCAGGTCCCGTTCACACGAAACCGGTCGTTTTTGAAACCGCAAATGTTGTTACCCGGATTCGTGTAGACGGGGTTATACAATGTTCTTACTGGGATTTCGTACACTGGGGTCCACAGGATTCCGGTCATTTTTGAAATCGCAAATATTGTTACCCGGATTCGTGTGGACAGTCCTTACAGTGTTCTTACCAGGATTTCGTACACTGGCATCCACAGGATCCCGTTCACACGAATCGGGTCATTTTTCAAATCGCAAATGTTGTTACCCGGATTCGTGTGGACGGGGTCCTTACAGTGTTCTTACCAGGATTTCGTACACTGGGGTCCACAGGCCCATAGAAAAGCTAAAAGGGGGCCGTGAGGGTGATGGAGAAAAGTGGGTCACAATTTTTAGATCAGTCAGCTCAACGTTTTCACAGGTCTGAGTCTTAGATAATTCTGGGTGTTTTCTAAAGACGCCATAATCAATTAAATTTGGTTTATATAATAAGGAAATGTACACGTACGTTTACGTACGTCTTGTAATAGGTTTCTTTCTTCTTCGCAGCCTTCGGGACCCCCCCCCCCCCCCCCCCCCCCCCCCCGGGGGAAAAACACCACCCCCCACCCCCCGGGGGGGGTTTTAAAAAGGGGGGGTTTTTGAAGCGGGGTGGGGGTAGGCGCACGGCCACGCACCGCGCCCCCTCCAGTACCCTACACAGCGAGCGCACATTNTTTAACGTTGTTTTTTTAACAGGGATAATCATTTGCTCTTTCAACAACAGTTTGCTCGGGAAATGAGCGAATGCTAAAGCTATTAACATTATGGTTAGTGCCCAGTTTTTCGCAACATTAATCTAAGAACGCCTGGTAGTTTTGGGACGTTGTTTACTCGTTGCAGTGACGAAGTTTCAAGATAAATTTGGACGTTTGGGGTGAATAAAACAGGTCTAATGGCCAAGATAAGTATTAAATATGTTTTGCCGACAAGTATTTGGAAATATTTCTTGCGGATTTCGCGGTATTTCGCGTTTTTGGGGGAATTTCGCAGGATTTCGCGGGCCCGCGACCGCGCGAAATATCAGAAGCCCTGCTAAGAAGAGCAATGTAGTGAGTGTGAGAGGATAATGATGCTCACCTGATGTTTAGCTTCCGTCTTTCAACTACACACTTTGTTGGTACTTTAGACATTTCTCCTACAAACACACAAACATACAAATGCGTTCAATATAAGAACATGTACCAACATTTGCGCCCAATCAGGGAAAATAAGTAAATCCGCCCCCCTTAGAAGTCACATACACATACCTTGTCCAGCAATGGCCTCAGATTCTGTAGCTTCCTTGTTACTTTGTTCCTGTAGTTGAAGAAGAGTAATTCATTAAGTTGGGAAGAGAAAAGAGATAGTTATTGATTCAAAGCCTTTCTCACCGCTTTAGCTTTTTCTTCTTCTGCTGCTTGTAATTCCCTGATCATGAAATCTTCAGGTCTGTTTAAGAAAAGATTGAAATTAAGACTTCTCAAAAAGCTAAAAAGTTTTAATGACACTTTTTTTGGTAAAGACATGATGGTAAAAATAATCATAAGCTTTTTCAGTTTTTACTTCACAGACACCCCCATACTTCAGGCAAGGATTGACAGGTGCCACAAACGCCATATTGTTAAGAAAATACCAACTCAAATTACATGTCTCTCTCCGAGAGCAGGCAAGATGAGGCAAATTCTGAGTTCTGATGGGATATCCGAGGGGGCAAGATAAGTCTATCGTCTCTGCTCGTGATTACCCACTTTGTCCTGCCAAAATAGTCTGGTCAATAACGCATATCCGTGATGCAAACCCCCCTTTTGTAACATGAGTTTGGGCTGCTTGTGCTCGAACAGACTGCTCACAACAGTGATTTAACTGATCTATAAGCATAGCTATTTATCTTTTCAATCTGTTGGGAATGGCGATAAAGTTTGTTTTCACAATTCAGAGCAATTAAACGTAGTGAATTAGCTGTAAAAATGGCTTTTTTGCTGAAGTGATGTTAAGGAAATTCTACTTTGAGTACTCTGCTCTGTAGCAGGAGCCATAAGGAGACATCATGCTTCTTGTCTGTACTAAATGTAAGTACAAACCTTATAAACTCTCCATAATCATCCCACTTTATTTTCTCTTCATGACAGGGAAACATAGGATATGATCTTGCCTGTTTAAAAAAACTACTTTTCCGACCACCCTGAAGGAAAAAAAATTCAAAGTAGAATAATGTAATTGACAAGTTTAAATTCCTACCAATATTCTTTCAGATATTCTGAAAGAACAATGTCCAAGACATCTACCTGCCAAAAATTAGCATTTCGGGGTAAATTGTCTTGAGATATTAGCCCAGTTATTTGTATGGAGTCATCCCAGCATAACTGGGCTAATATCTCAGAGACAATTTGCCCCACAATGCTAGTTTTTTGCAGGTAGGTCTTGGATGTTGTTCTTTCAGAATATCCTGACAAATTTATTGTGACGTCACAGTTTAGAACTCTATGCTGGTACTGTGTTTACAGCTCTAACCCCTATGCCCATTTTAAACCATACCTTTTCATCCGCCATCATAAGATCATGTCTAACTCCTCCTTCTAGATCCTCATCGCTGTCACTATCACTTTCCTCTCCTGTCAAATGGTGACTGAAAACAAAAACTCCTAATCAGCCATGTTTAAGGTGTGTACTGTAAATTAACACACACGACTGACAAATGACTCAGCCAGATGACGAATGTCTTGTGGTAAACATGATCAAACCTCAACTAACTGTACTGGAAGTATTTTGTTTGATTATTGATTGTAGAGTTTAAAACTGTGTTTTTTTGTTATGATTCTCAAACTGATTCACTCAAAAGAGAGAAGTGCATTCGAATAATTATGTGAAATTCATGTATTTATCTTTTCAGTGCTGTAATAGCTAGAAGGATTTATATATTGCAATGGTCACATCTTCTTATTTGTCCATTGTAAAAGGTACAGTGTTCACATCAAGGACCTCTGGATCTTCTGCTATATTGGTTCATTTTGAAAAGAAAATGTTTTCCACCTATAAACTGTCTACATGCTTGACATAGTCACATACACAAAAAACAGGGTTTGCACTTTGTTTTAACAATGATCCTAAGTCATTGTACTAAACATGTCTTCATACAGTGTAAACAATGTTAGAGAACAGAACAAGACAAAGACAAGACAAAAACGAGAAAGTAAGTCATGGTAAATGCAAAGTAAGTCGTGGTAAATGCACAGCCAGCTGGGCTGCTCTGAAGCTTCACAACAACTTATCATTTGGAAACCGATTTTTAACATGTACTTTGTCAGTACCAGTAGCTTCTTTAAGCAAATTGAAGAAATGCATTTCATATTTTATTAGTATTACCTAGCCAGAAGACGAAAAATAGCCCATAAAAAACAATACCATAAACTACAAGTACCTTCTTTCAGTGGCTTCAATTGTTTGTCGACTCTTTTCCTTTTCCTTCTCTGCTTCCAAATATCTTTCAAGTTCTTCTCCTTCCAGCTTCACTCTTGTTTTCACCTGTACTCCGAAACAATAACAACCAATTAAAATTATTTGAGTAACTGAAGAGTTTTCAGAGTTTTCATTAGGCAACAGAGATTGGAGAATTCTCCGTTTAATATGCAGAATTCTTTGACTAATGTTTGGTAGCTTATGACTATCTTTCATTCAGCTGTGGAGCCTCTTTCAAAATATTCTTCTGTAACGTTACACCTTTCTTCTGCTACTAGGATTCTTAATGAAAACCCTGTGATTTCCACAAGCCCCAGCAACCAGCAAAAAATTGCTGTCTAGTTATCACAGAAACACCGGCTAGTCACAGCGAATAATCTTAAGATGTGAAAATAATTCTAGCTTTACCTCAATATCAACTGCTTTCAGCTGTAAGTTTTCAATCAAAGTCCGAGCCAGTGTCCCAGGTGATGGTCGACAGGTGAATACTACTGTATTTCTGGGTTCCTCTGCCCACTTGATGAACAGTTCTCGTGAAAAACCACATGTCAGGTCTGCTACTGATGCTAAAACAACTTTTGGTTCTGAAATTTTGGCAAGGTCTGCCAAGCTGTGGCATAATGAACAGTGTCTGCAAAATAGAACATACTTTACAATAGAACAACTAATCAAACAAAACAAAACAAAACAAAAGAACTACCACGCCCATGAACATGGTGTACAAACCTGAATTGATAAGGGTTCATTCGACCAATTTCAAAAGACTTCATGACCTTGTCACTCATCCATTCTACCTGAAGAAGGACAAAAATAAAAATTTATCCACATGATTTCTGTTTTGTCAAATGGGCTTATATAGTAACTTGGCCACCCCAAAAAATATCATTCAAAAGCTAATTTTTTGAGCACTGGGTCATTGTCAGCGATTTTCACTCTCCCATTGAAACAGTGACACAGTTTCTTCAAAAACTAAACCCTTAATATTATAAGTGGTTTCTTGGTGTCACTACAATCTGCATGAGTACCTCTATAATTTGGAGAAAGGAGAATTCTATCACCAGAAAGATCGGAAAAAATTCTGACCTCCAGGTGAGAATCGAAACTTGTGACACTCCGAGTTCCTGTTCCATGAGACATGTGAACTCAACATACTGCAGCACTAAGGAAACAATGTTTTCCTTTCCTCACCTGCGACTTGGCAAACTCCACAACATTGTAGCTCACATTGTTAAGCATTGCGAGAGAATATGCTGCTAATCCTGAATCAGCATTACGCCATAACTGATCCTATAATTTTAAACAGATTATCAATAGGTGAATCTTTGCTGATGTTATTGTTTACATCTTTCTTCATTAGCATGCGACTGAAGCCATAGAAGTTGTGGCCATATATACAAAATAAATTCAAAAGTTGAAAGAGCTGATTAACTTGAGCAATTTGTGGAATTTTCATCTCTTCGCAAGCAATATAGAAGGAAATACCAGCCATGGAAAACTGCAAAATTGCTGGGTGGCAAAAAAGTTAATAAGCCATGTATTCTTTGTAAAATTTTGAGTTTGTAAAAGAGAATTTCTCCACAACCATTCAGTATATTGGCTTCAAATTTTCAGATACATGTATAACTGAAATTATTATGCTCTCTCAATATTCTGCAGTTATATTTTATTAGTTTCATCAGATAATGATAAGTACATGTTAATGAGGCAAAAAATGCAAAAAAATATTTGCCTATAAGGAAATACAAAACCTACTTAAAGCCTTGTGTATTCTTTAACTTGTTTTGTTGAAAGCATCTAAGCATAATGTAATTAAACTATTTAGGCTCAAAATATACATATATATTAAAAAAGACAAATCCAAAACGTTTTTGACACTAGGTCACCATCCCTTAATTGCATAATTTTTATTTCATATGCTTAGGTAATTCCCAATAGAAAACATTTTGTCAACAGAGGTGTTAATGTGCTTGTTTTTAAGGTCATGAAAAAATTAAAAAAAAAACAAAAATTCCAACAATATTACCAGTAGCTGAGATAACTCTAACACTCTCCCAGCTGTATCCACAACTATCAGTACATTGCCATTTCTTCTGGCTGTAGTAAGGATTTCCGCTATAAAAACAAAAGACATGAAAGCATGATCATGACACTTAGTTATATAAAAACATATGGGCAGTCTTTTTGTGTCAATTGTACCAGAGGAAATTCTGTGGATTTGTACCACATAATTATCACGGAGAAGAATCAAAGGAACAAAATAAAGTCGTCAACAGAAACATTTAACAGGACTGGTTGGAAACAGCAAAACAAAATGTTTAATGATAGATCTTATGAAAAAGTGAAAACACACATTGTGAAAAATTCTACATAAGATGTTTTAGACAGAAATTGGAAATGATTATAGAGCTTAAAAAACTTACTCATAAGTTGTGTGTCCCTTTCTCTTCTTCTGGCTTGCACATTAAGTGCATTAAAGCTATCTGTTATTAGCAAAGAAGGTCTGCTAAGGGTTTCGAGGACAGCTCCATTCAGGTGCCTTGAGAAAGCACAGGTAAAAATATATAAGTAAGACGGATAGTAAATGGCCATGAACCTGCATAAAATTTCATCTGAACTTAAAATTTTTTAAGTGTTTCTGATCAGTCATAGACTTTCTATTACATGTATTTTGCCTTTCTGTCTGTCTTTGAGTGACTGGTGACTGGCATAATATGGGTAAACATTACAGAGAATGTAAGGCAAAATTTTCAGGATATTGTCCAGTGACTGTAATACACAGGGTCACCACTATATACAGGGCCCTTATATACAGGTTTGACTGTACGGTGTACTTTTTCCCATGACTCAAATACAAAAACTACATCATGTACATGCAAGTCATTCCTCTCAACTTGATTTAGACAGCCATTTTCACCACTGAAACACACCTCTCTTTCTTATGATTGTAGTCCACAGCATAAATAATGTCCTCCTCTCCATCCTTAACAATCTTCCACATTGTTCCACCAATCATATGTCCAGCAGCATAAGGGGTGATCGTTAAACCGTGACCCTTTCCTAGAAGAATCAAGAAAATTTTCTGCAATTTTGGGGGAATTTAAATGTACACGATAGACCTTTTTAGCTTGTATGTATTTATTTTTTCCGAATTCAGACTAAATGATGTTCTGCAGGGAATTAGTCTTTTATCTTTTTATTAATTTACGCGTACACATGCACATGGATGCATGAGTATAGGATAATATTTTTAAAAAAGAAACACCTCCCTGGGGCACTGCCATGTGGTTTGAAATAGGAAACAGAGCATACAAGCTAAGCAGGTCTGTACATCACAACGGTGATGATATTACAGTTGGGGCATGAAAACTGGGTCTTGTTGATGAGGCAGTGTCACATCATGATACTAAACAACTTGAAACTATGCAATGAGAAAATTCTGACTTCCCACTTGACACAGGGAAGCTAATGCAATATTCATTGGATACAATATAGCTGTTGCTCCTGGGGGGGTTGGGGGGACGGAGCGGGTACGAGGGTTAATTTTTGCTTTGTGCCACTGGCCTCTCAGAGCCCCTACCCCATTATAGTTTATTCTGTGTCCAATTATAGACCCCATCTTAAGTCACTTTTTGGGCAAATGTAATTTTTGCGATCTCAACTTAGTCACTTTCAATTTTAGTGTCTAACTTATATTGAATGAAGAACAGTTTACTTTTTGTATACAGTACAAACTGGTATGGTATGGTATGTTTGCTAACCGTAAATGTGAAGAACTTTTTTACCCCCAAAATCCGAAAATGTGCAACACCATTCCAGTAACTCCATTGAAAATGCAACCCCAGTATAGTCAATCCAGTCGTGAAAATGCGACCCCATCAAGCGGCACATCCCCATTAGCTTCTTATAAGGAAGCATGTATTTCAACAAAGCATGGTATATTTGAAATAATTATTAAAAACCAAACAAAAAATAACGAAAACAGGCCACATGTAAAACTTTCGCAAAACTTGACTAGTCACTAAATAAATCAAATATATAATGAATAAATAGATAAAAAATATCGTGGGCTAGATGGGGTGTTGGCCTCAACTACTTTCCCACGTGATAAGCATTCCTTTTAAAGCATTTCATTCTACCCATACTGCACTACAACTGAAACCACCCCAGTCCCCACTGTTCCCGTGCTGCAGAGATACTTCACTTCCAGCTAATTTGTATCCACTCAAACGCCAGAAATTCAATAATATCGCCTTCCCAAAGAGGAGTCAAGCTAAGACTACATAAAACAGTACGGCAATGGTTTTCATTGTCTGCACAATAATCATGAGAGTGTAAACAACAAAGTTACCAAACTTACCTTTCAAGCTGACATTTTGAGAGTATTTCAGTTGAATGATTTTGTCAAAAGCAGCATCTACATCATCCAGACTGAAAACTTCAAAATCTTCATAATTTTGATGAGACTGGAATGAAAAAAATATCATTCTTGTGATCTAAAGGCATTAGGGACTACAAAAATAAGCTTCCAGTTGTTATATAAAAATAATACAGTAGAACCTCCACTAAGGGGCACCTCTCTACAATGGCCACTAATGACAAAGTCAAGAATGGTGGCCATCAGTGGAGATTTGACAGAATTTGATAGTCTTGTAAGTGATAAAATACAAGTACCTGCAAAAATGCCACAAAAACAGCAAAATGATAACAAAGTTTTTTAAAATTGGATTTAATTCCAAACTGAGTACCAAATGCACAATTCTATCCAGGAGATTTTCTGGCCCATTTGGGAGAGGGGAGATTTGCCCAGTAACCGTCACCTGCTAAGCTCAGTTGGGAGAGCACCAATCTGTTGAGTGGGAGGTCGCGGGTTCTAACCCCAGCTGGACCAACACTCAGGGTCTTTAAAAAACTGAGAAGAAAGTGCTGCCTTTGTAATGACATCTGCAAATGGTTAGACTTTCTAGTCTTCTCAAATAAGGACAAAAAACCGTAGGTCCCGTCCCGCAGCACTTTCACTGATCTGTTCTTGTGGAACGTAAAAGAACCCTCACCACTGTTTGAAAAAAGTAGGGGATGTAGACCCCGGTGGTGTGGCCAACCTATACCGATTAGGGAATTGGGCAGGGATGGCACCTTGCATGGGACCTATGAGTCCCATTCGTGCCATTTCCTCTGGGCAGGCCTTGTCCAGAAAAGCTGGTAAAAGAAAAAAATCCTTTCAGAGCTTGTCAAAACATGTTGGATGTTCTTGACCAGCAAACAACAGTTATAATTCCAACGAGGAGATGGAACAAACGAGGCTGAAGGAACAAGTATCTAGGGGGAAAACTAGGTATCTGAGACTGCATTAAGAATGTTTTGAAAAACATTGATATTTGTCAAACTTTTAGCTCTAAAATTGATTTTTTTGGCAGAGACTACTTAAGTTTATAATTTTCCATCCCTGAAACCACCTAAAAATAGTAAGGTCTGAACATTAAACGAGTCAGAATGGTTGCACTATTCTAGACACAAAAACAAAGTTTAAAACAATGTTGCTCCCTACAGCTACTAGCTGTAGCAACTGTCATGATAACTGAAAAAGGGGGAATAATAAAAACATCATTACACTCAAGTCCTTCAGTACCATTCAAAAGTCAGTTGACAGTCTGTTGCGAGTCTTGATTCCTGTGTGAATCGAGAATTGAGAACAAGCTATGGAGAATCGAGTGGATGATTGATAGAAAAGATGTAAGCCTCGCATTATTCTAATTTCATGAAAGGGGTTATAGTTGACTGATGCATGCTTCACCTACAAGGGTAGAATAGCTTGAGCTTCAATATCCTGCAGGTAACACCAACTACAGTGTACATGGGTAGCTGGGTTAAGCATGTCAAACTTTTAATTAGCAGGGAATCCCATACTCACTGTTGAAATACCTGATAACAATTCACATCCAAGACTTTGCTAGCCTGAGAAAACAGACAACATTTTGCGGGAGAATTGACCTCTGAGAAACGAGTGCAGATCTGGGTAGTGCTTCTGATTGGTTGAAGCAAATTTCACAAACGGCACGACCAATTAGAAGCACTACCCAGATCTGGGCAGAGATGCATCATGAGTATGGAATTTCTGCGCTTGTTTCTCGAATGTCAATTTGCGGGGAAACTGTTGGTGGCATAGCGAAATGTCGTCTGTTTTCTCAGGACTTTGCACAAAACTATGCAAAACAAACCCTACAGAATTTTGAGCCGCTTTCAAAAATAATAAAGGACATTTTAAAAACCTTCAGCTAGGGATCAGAAATCAATTACATGTAAGAAACCACAGGAAATCACTGTATTGCAAAAGACCACATGACCTTTGAATCCTCCAAAACAGACTTAACCCGTTGAGGACCAAACGAAGAAGCAAGCGTCGTATTAGCAAGTGGCAAATGCCTTGTCGTAATACCAAATCCTCCTTTTAAACTTTATTTAAGACTTTTTGAGGAAAGCTTGTGACTCTTTCAAAGTATTTTCAATTTTACTACACATCAGTGAGCTAGAATAGAATAATACTCTTAATTCACTTTGTTTTAAATTCTTGTTGAACAAAAACATGGACCCTCTGAAGCCTGTGGGGGCGGGGGGGGGGGTGGGTGCTAGTACACCCATCCTCACTACAGGTCTGTTAAGTTAGAATGAATAATATGGCAGAAATGTAACCATACCTGAAACAAATCATACATGAACATCTGTCCCATCTTATACACAGGAATGGTGGTGTATATTGGACAGTGGAGACCACACTTTCCTACTAAATATGGTAGTGCACCCATGTGATATATATCAGGAAATGTCAGGAGTACTGCATCTATCTGGTGTATGTGTCTGAAGAAAAAACATACTATTGAAAACCACTATCAGCTTATATAACTACTATCAGCTTATAACACTATATTTCATTCCCAGGGATTTGTTAACTGAAAGCCCTGTAACTTTTCGGGACTAAAGCCATAAATTTTAAACTAAAAACAAATGATAACGAAGATTTTACACATGTCTGATTCTCAGATGGTCCCAGGTCGGTTGCTCAAATTCCCTGTTCTCTGAGATCAGTGTACCGGGTTGGGCTCATCTCTAGTGTAATATAATTTATTACTCACATGTACAGCTGACATAAAACAAAGACAACGAAACATCCTTAACAGTGAACCTAACCCTGACAATAGTCCATAAAACAAAGTACACCGGGGAAGTCCCAAATGTCAACTGTTTCCCTGTTTTAGTTAATAGACATTGTTGATTCACAGCAACTGGAGCAAGTGATTAAGTTTTTAGGAAATCAGGAGTAAAACTCATCTTTAAAAATACCAGCCAGATTGAAACTGTTTCATCAGATTTGGGAAAATCGCTTAAGTTGGTGCGGTGGTTATCAAATTGATCTACATAATTTGTACTTCAAAGATGAGGCTATTTTTAATTTCAATATGCAGATCATCGCAGCGTCAAGTTTTACTTAACGTAGATAGCATTTAGTTTGGTCTACTGTTACCTTAACTCGAAATCTGCAAAATAAGAAACCTATCAGAGTATACCTATACAATCCTCAAAATACATGTCCCCTGACTCAAAACAACTTACTTTTTCACCGGCTCAATAACTTCTGGACTGAAAGCCTCGTTCCATCCGCAATCAAGGAGAAACCTAAATTCGTCGACTTGAAGCAAATAACATAGCGGCCCCTCATCATAAGCACCAGAAAGGACAGTAAGTTTGATTATAGATGTCATCGTGATCTCCCCTTCGTACTTTACAATTGAGCCGCCATCTTCCTTTTCCCCCACAAACCATTGGGGTGCCACGGGGCTCGAGCGGCATCCTGGGTAGAAATTCCCAGACGTTTGCAGCGTGTTTTGTCCAGCTTATGAGTTGCTATTTTTGCCTCGTTGAATTCCCCACAGAAGTCAATGTTATGTGAAGAAAAAGAGCAGCTGCTTGAGGTGATGAGAAGAAGAAGTAAACCCAGGTTGAGGTGTGGTTTTCATCGCAGTCGCAGCCGCAACACCGGTAAAAAACTTGCAGAATATGGTTCATAGCTGATCCCGCGCGCGGTGTCAAGCTTACGTTAAATTGCTACTTTGCATGTTCGTTTCATTTCTGTGCTTAATGATAGCGTTTTTCTGCTTATGTACGAATGTTTCTATTCTTTCCCAGGAATAGCATAATATCAATAGAATGAACTCATTTACGACTCGGGTCGAAGTGTCAACACTGGTGAACGTACTTGACCACTAAGACTCTTGAGGTAAGGGAGGACACGTTGCTTTTCTCGCTCGGTCACAGGTAGCCCAAGCGTAATGTGAGACAGTGTCAGGTCAGATGATGTAAAAGTACTCAAATCGCGCTGAAACTTCGTAAAAACAAGACAACGACTCCAGGTAACAATATTTACACTTTATTAATAACTTTTATCGGTTTTACTTCATTTATGTCATCTAAGTTTTAAACTCTATTTTTCCCATACAAACTCTCATATTACGCTTGGGCCACCTGTGGCTCGGTGCGGGAATGAAGCTTAAATATTTACCGGCGGTATTTATAGCCAAAAGACTATTCGGGCCGAGGAAATGACTGGAACAAATCACATGGTTAAGAATTCCAACTGAACTCGACCTCAGGATTATCAAGAACAAAGCTATTGGTCGGGGTGGGACATAAACTGAGAGCTGTCAGACTGCAAGTCCAAAGCTCTAACTACTCAATCCCACTTCCTCTTCCTGCTCGCTCCTGCTTTCTATGTAAGTATGTAAATAAAGACTGGAAACTACTGTATTTACTTGAATAGACGCCGCGGCGTTTATTTCATTTTTTGCGATCCAGCTGCGGCGTTTATTCAAGGGCGGTGTCTATTCGGGGGCGGCGTTTATTCAAAAATCACTTTATTCAGTACTAAATATCAGACGACATATGGTAACTTTTTTACTAGGTAACAGTAACAAATCTCAATATATAAATGTCATTCATTATTGTGATTTTTACACAAAGTTAAACTTCTACTTCAACATCAATGTCCTCCTCATGGTCGGAATCTAACAGCTGCAGCGTAGGGCAAGCGTCTTCACATCTGACTCTGTACACTCAAACGGATTAGTCTCGGGCTCACTCAAAATTCCCAGTTGTGATTTAAGCATTGGTTTTCCAGAGCTGCATGGCTGTCCTTCCTTTAGGCAGTGAATGTTGTCGTCTCTGGACCCATCTACTGGAAGGTTCAAGGTACACGTGGTAAAGGATTTCTTGATCACATCTGCAGGCATCTTGGCCCAAGAATCCAAAATCCATTGCAAAATGGCTCTTCTTGGGGGTGTTTTTAAATTACCAGAGGCGGTTTCTTCATGTATGCCAACTGTACTTAGCCAGTGGTCATACTTTTCTGTGCAGGAAGACTTAAATGGCTTGTTCCAGCTTACATCCGGAGCCTGGATGTACTTTGTGCATCCTCCTGGCACAATAATGTGCTCAATTTTCTTTGACGTCAATGCTTCAGTAACGGTATCTTCAATGTGGCATTCGTAAGAATCCCAGGCTAACAGCCTACGATTGAATGAGAATGACCCAAGGACAGAATTGATCCAGACTATAGTTAATTCAGAGTCCATCCACGCGTTAGCGGACGTTGCGACAACTGCCCGACCTTTAAACTCTTGATTTAAAGCTGCCACTTCCCTTTTAGCTCCTTTAATTACAACCATTGGTTTTAATTTGGTTCCGTCAGCCTTCTCTGCTAGTACAACAGATACTCTTGACTTCTCATGACCAGTCGTTTTAAGAGTAACGGTCTTTTTCCCACTTTTATCGACGGTAGTTTCTGAAATCATATTGCACCAGACTGGGGTTTCATCCATGGCAATTATGTTACAAGGAGCATAATTGTGCTTTATTTGAAGTCGCCTAACTTGAATTATGTAGGATACAAGTTTTGCGACCATTGTTTCGGGATCTTGTTGAGCCACAGATGTCTTTCTTCTCAATGATAAAACATTTCTCTTCAGGAATCTACACAATAATCCTCTGGACGCTTTAAAGTCCTCAGTCGCGGTGTTGCTTTCTGGTGTAATATCGCGATAAATTATTTCAGCTTTTTTCATAATAAGCTTGCAGGAAACTCATAAACTACTAGTGCGCCTGTTGTCAATCCACTCCAGTAAGACTACTTCCATTTAAGTACTCAAGGGTTTCTTTCCATTCCCATTTAATGTGCTT